TTTGATTTGCATTGATGCAACGTGATTTTCATATACTAATATTTTTTTGAGAATTTGTCCAAAAGTTTCAACACCACAATATCAATCCAAAAAGTTTTACAGTTTTGTCAAATGCTGATGTAAACAAATTTTTTATAGCTCTGTTAGTTTCTGAGCTACCGGATATTTTAGAAAAGTTTGCTATTTGGGACACCTCCCGTAAATCCGTTATTGTGAAAGGTATCGAAAAAGTGAAAACAGTTTCTTTTCGGTAGAGTACAGTGGCGTAGGCTGTTTGTCTATGGTAAAAATATTTTTGAAGATATGGACCGTGCAGGCACAGGATTAGTCAACGATATAGCTCATCGATTCCCTAGAACTTTTCAATTTAACATTTTTTCAAAATATTTAAAACAAATAAAATAATGAACTTCAGTCTATTGTTGACTCACCCTGTACAAAGTTATTCATGATATAAATATATCCGAATGACAGTTCAATATCCAGGTATATGTGACAACAGGTAGAGTTTATAACGATGCCGAAAATATATTCTTACTCAGCGACTGTTGGCGCCAATCGGGCGAATGTTCCGGTGTTAATGGGTCCAAATTTAAAACAGAACTGCTAGCGGGCTGAAGAAACAAGTTTGCGAAAATATACAGAGTGATAATTTGAAAAGTAGCAGTCGCAATTGTTTTATAGGGAAAAAATACTAGCATCAGGAATCAGGAATATTTCAAATTATACATTAGGAAATAAAATAAAATAATTTATCAAATTATGTTTGATTAAATTTTATTTAATAGCTCTACAATGTTGATTATTTTAATACACTTCATTCAAATTCTTATTAGTTACTATCTACTTACCATTTTTTTAAGTAACAGTTGTGAGTTAGGGTTCAGAATCGGAAAATCCCGGTACCAAAGGTTCAAATTTCCGGTTCTTTTGAGACACCAAAGAACCGGGACTCGAAATTATTAATTCCCTGTTCTTTCGGTACTTTTGGGACTCCGTAATCATAATTAAAAACATATTTTTTGTTACCTGTGAAAGACTTTCTAGCGGTCGAAATCAAACTCTTCTAAATAAGTAGTGATGCTATATGCTATCTCTATACTGTTCTTACTTCTGAAGTGATTTTGAAGTTTCTATAATGTTTATTAGCAATTATTGAAATTTAAATATGTTATTTTATTATTTAGTATAATATTTCTAGATGTATTAGTTATATTTTTTGTGTTATGTTTTTATAGGCATTTGCATCTTTAATTGAAAATGTTAAGTTTTTTTTTCTAATTTAGTTAAGTTGGTTTCGAGATTGGTTGATGTTGTTTGATGTAATTTTTAAGCTACCTATGTGTTTTCTTTTTTTTTCGCTTGTGTTCATTATTTGTGTTCATGTATACTTTCTCATGACTTAAAAATTTCATATTATTTTCATTTGAAACTCAATTTTTTATAGGTTTTACTTTTGAGAACCATCCCTTGCTTGCTAATTGACGAACAGACCCGTTCCTGGGGTATCTGGCGCTTACATGCAGCATTCTGTGGTGCGCCCTTTTTGTATTTAAATCAATTATATATTTTAATCTTAATCTCCAAAATTTAAAGAATTTATATTCTGCGACAAACGGGCAATTTGTAATTGGAAATGTAAAAAAAATCTAATTAAAGTATAAAAATATTTATTAAATAAAGAAAACAAACAAAACCACAAAAATATTTAGTAACAAAAATAGTACCCTAAAGAAAAAAACTGACCCATTTTAAATGAAATACATAAAAACAATAAACTAAAAATCGGAAATAATATACATGTACTGATTTCTTTCGAAAATAGACAACTATGAAACTATGATCCCTTCCCCGATAAAAACGGTACATTGTAAGACAGGAAATTGTAGAGAGAAACAAGCCCTATAACATAGGATACAACATTTTAATGAACAGTGCTTTCCATAAAATGAATAAAATGAAAAATATACGAAATACTATACATGTACTGATTTCTTTCGAAAATCGACAACTATGAAACTATGATCCCTTCCCCGACACAAACAGTAATTTGTGTGACAGAAAATTGTAGAGAGAAACAAGCCCTATAACATAGGATACAACATTTTAATGAACAGTGCTTTCAATAAAATGAATAAAATGAAAAATATACGAAATACTATACATGTACTGATTTCTTTCGAAAATCGACAACTATGAAACTATGATCCCTTCCTCGACACAAACAGTAATTTGTGAGACAGAAAATTGTAGAGAGAAACAAGCCCTATAACATAGGATACAACATTTTAATGAACAGTGCTTTCCATAAAATGAATAAAATGAAAAATATACGAAATGTACTGATTTCTTTCGAAAATCGACAACTATGAAACTATGATCCCTTCCCCGACACAAACAGTAATTTGTGTGACAGAAAATTGTAGAGAGAAACAAGCCCTATAACATAGGATACAACATTTTAATGAACAGTGCTTTCCATAAAATGAATAAAATGAAAAATATACGAAATACTATACATGTACTGATTTCTTTCGAAAATCGACAACTATGAAACTATGATCCCTTCCTCGACACAAACAGTAATTTGTGAGACAGAAAATTGTAGAGAGAAACAAGCCCTATAACATAGGATACAACATTTTAATGAACAGTGCTTTCCATAAAATGAATAAAATGAAAAATATACGAAATGTACTGATTTCTTTCGAAAATCGACAACTATGAAACTATGATCCCTTCCCCGACACAAACAGTAATTTGTGTGACAGAAAATTGTAGAGAGAAACAAGCCCTATAACATAGGATACAACATTTTAATGAACAGTGCTTTCCATAAAATGAATAAAATGAAAAATATACGAAATACTATACATGTACTGATTTCTTTCGAAAATCGACAACTATGAAACTATGATCCCTTCCCCGACACAAACAGTAATTTGTGTGACAGAAAATTGTAGAGAGAAACAAGCCCTATAACATAGGATACAACATTTTAATGAACAGTGCTTTCCATAAAATGAATAAAATGAAAAATATACGAAATACTATACATGTACTGATTTCTTTCGAAAATCGACAACTATGAAACTATGATCCCTTCCTCGACACAAACAGTAATTTGTGAGACAGAAAATTGTAGAGAGAAACAAGCCCTATAACATAGGATACAACATTTTAATGAACAGTGCTTTCCATAAAATGAATAAAATGAAAAATATACGAAATGTACTGATTTCTTTCGAAAATCGACAACTATGAAACTATGATCCCTTCCCCGACACAAACAGTAATTTGTGTGACAGGAAATTGTAGAGAGAAACAAGCCTTATAACATAGGATACAACATTTTAATAAACAGTGCTTTCCATAAAATCAATAAAATGAAAAATATACGAAATAATATACATGTACTGATTTCTTTCGAAAATCGACAACTATGAAACTAATCAATAAAATGAAAAATATACGAAATAATATACATGTACTGATTTCTTTCGAAAATCGACAACTGTGAAACTATGATCCCTTCCCCGACACAAACGGTACATTGTGAGACAGGAAATTGTAGAGAGAAACAAGCCCTATAACATAGGATACAACATTTTAATGAACAATGCTAAATAAATAAAATGATTAAAATGAATAAAATGAAAAATAAATAGATGAGATCAATATGTTGCCGACAGATTGCCCTAGACTTGTTTATTCGGTGCGGCCAACGCCAAAAAGACGCTAAGCAAACTTTATCCTATGTTTAAGTATTTGTTTATTGGCAAGAAAGCGTATCGGTTTTTTGTTACAAAGTACTGATTGACCCTTCGATTTTGCGCCCTCAAAATGTTGCGCCTACGTGCGTGCACGCACTGCACGCTCGCCAGGAACGGTCCTGTTAATGAACTCCACAATCATTGAACGAAAATATTTTAGTACGGTTCTGGAAACTCTAATTAATACTGCCAGTTAGGGTTCAGATCTTTTTGGCCATCACCAGAACCGGGCCTCGCTAACAATAATTAAAAAATTATTTTTTTGTTACGCGAGAAAGTCCTTTGATACTTTCTAGCGGTCGAAATCAAACTCTTCTAAATAAGTAATGATGCTATTTCTTATTGTTATTTCTTCTTTTCGCATTTGATATTCCTATAATATTTATTATGTTATGTTTTAATAGATATTTGCATTTTTAATTCATTATTTTAGGTCTTTTGTCTCAAATCAGTTAAGTTGGTTTATGTTGTTTGATGTGAAATTTAAGTTACCTATACTTTTTTCTTTATTTGTGTTCATGTTAATTTTTTCATGACTGATAATTTGATATTATTTTTGATCCTTTATAATTTGATATTATTTTCATTAAAAATCTCAATTTTTTATCCAATTTACTATGAAACACCATCCCTTGCTTTCTGATTGATAAACTGCATCACCATTGAACAAAAATTACTCAGTACCTAAAGTACCGAAAAAACCGGGAAATCCCGGTTCCTAAGAGGGGCGGAACGAAATTCCCGGTTCCGAAAAACAGCTTCGGTTCCGGAAACCCTATTATGAGTGTGTTTTATCTGTCATTAAATATTAATAATAATCCCTCTCTATTAAGTGTTTTAGCCAGTATCATTAGAAGTGAAGTCACTGAAGTTTATGTTGCCATGTAAAAAAAAATAAATAAACTTTACTATTCCATTACTTTATTTTATAACTAAATATATAAAAGTATCAAATATAATAATCAAGAATATAAATAAATAAAAACATCGGGATATTCATCTTTAGCATTCTTTTTATCTACCCGATCCATGTCCCCAGTGGGTTACTCCCACATAGCTGGTACCACCAACACCTCCATGGCTGTGTTTACCGTAATGTGCTGGATGTTGGGCATGTCCTACACGGCGTACCACCGCTTGGAAACCGGTGTGAGGTCCAGAAGTATATTCCACGATCCTTTTAGTACCGTCGGCTTCGTGGAAGGAGTAGCCCCCTTTGACATCATCGTGGTTACGGTGCTCGAACTGGTCTTTGACGTCGTGAGTGTGAGGGTCGTGAACGCCATATTCGAAATGATAATGGGGGACCTATAAAAATCAAAATAAAAATAGAAATCAGGGAACATTAGCATTTGCGTTTCAGTCATACAGTGATGAAGCTTTGTTCTCATGTGACTTCTCTTGGCTAATAACTGAAACTTGGCTAAATAAAATCTGTCAAATCAGTCCAAATAGATAATTATTTTTTAATAAAAATATAAAATATGGGAGTAAGATCAGAACTAAAACTATAGATATGATATAAGCTATTTATGATATAAGCGTTAAAAATGTATTTTATTTTGTAAGAAGTAGTATTGATGAGCGAGACTGGTCTTGCTCTTGCGGTCTTGCTCTTGGTCTTGCATAAATGGTAAGACCTAGACCAAGACTAGTGTTTGATCTGCAAGGCTAAGGCCAAGACAGACCAGTATAAAATTTCCACACAGTGATGCCTACTCGTGGAAAATTTCCCGATTCGTGGGAAATTGCAAGATCCAGAGAGAAAAGGGAAATTTAAACCCATATTCGTGGGAAATTTTAAAGTTCATGTATTATTCGTAAAAAGTAGTGATTGTATACGCATTCAGCAAACTGAATAAATTGAACCTTTTATAATATACCACTCAACAATTATCGAATACTTTCTAAAAAATATATTAATTTGAAAAACAAGACACTTTGAATTCCCTGACCTACAGTTTTAAATAGTTTGGATACTGCAAAGGGAAATTCGAAACAATAAGCCTACGCGTTAACCTGTAATTTTTAGTCGGCCGACTATTTAATTGCAAAAGTGAATGTACTTATGGAGCCGATCAGCCGACTATCTGATTGCATGTGAACGCAGCTCCATAGGAATATATTGGTTACATATATGCAACTAAATAGTCGGCCGATTAAAAATCGCATGTCAGCGTATAGCCTAAGGCTATGCAATATCAAATATTGGGCCGATCGGCTCCACAAAAGTGTTTTATTATATATATATATATATATATATATAATATATATATATATATATATATATATATATATATATATATATATATATATATATATATATATATATATATATATATATATATATATATATATATATATATATATATATATATATAAACGGGATTTGGTTTAAGTATTTAATACTCATTTCCAACTACAGCCTATTGCTGCCTTCCCGTTACTCTACGCCACACATCTCGATTTAGAGCGTCATCAGCTTCTAGGTTACGAGCTTCCATTGCTTCCTGTAACTGTTCCGTTCCAGGATTTTCTAGGTCTACCTCTCTTTCTTCTGCCCTGGGGAGCCCATTGAAAAACTCTTTTTGGCCTCCTGTTCTCCGGCATACGCAGAACATGTCCAAACCATTTTAAGCTGGATTTTCGATTCGATCCAGTACTGTCTCCTCCGATGCATTCATGATACGCCTGACTTCGATGTTTGTCTTTTTTCCATCCTAGATATACCTGCACTTCTTCTAAGGTAGTCCATTTCAACAACTTGATTTTGCGCTCGCGTATGCACTCAGAGTCCATAGCTCTGAACCATAGCAAAGAACTGACTCCACCAATGTTCTTCCAAGTCTCTTTTTAGTTGTTGCAAACAAGTTTCGGTCCCATCAGAGGCTGTTAAGACATCCAATAACTTGTTTGCTCTTCTGAATTCGGGTTTGTATTTCTACTTTGCCCAAACCCTCGTTGTTGATAGTAGCACCCAGGTATTTAAATTTGTCTACTTGTTGAATCTGGACGTTATCATTAATGAAGACTTCAAAACAAGCGTTGGAATTGACAGCTAAGTATTCGGTCTTCTTTAGACTAACCTGAAGTCCCCATTTGTTGTATTCTTGATAAAGCCTCTTAGTCATGAACTCTAGGTCGTATGAGTCCTGCGCAATCACGACCTGATGTCTGCAAAGCTCAGGGTAAATAGTGTGTTGTCCTCAATGGGTATTCCCATACCTTGACATTTCGTCTTCCATTCCCTAAGGGCTACTTCGACGTAAGCGTTGAAGATCAGTGGAAATAAGCTGCATCCTTGTCGCAACCCTTTTGTGGTGTTAATTGGATTGGATATTGGCGTACTCTAATTATCCTAAAAAAACTCACAAGAGAAAGGCAGAAAAAGGCAAGCTTCATTTAGAAATATGATACCTTACTTGGAAAACCTCATAAGCCCAATTTTTGGCAAACGTTATATTTATAGCCTATTTCGATAAAGACCTCAAAGTCTATTGTATTGTAATTTGAAATTGTTTTAATTAATTGGGGGGGAATAGAAAAAAGATTTTTGTTGATTTTGCGAATCTTGCGGTCTTGCATTTTTTCACCTTTATATGACAATATGACGTAAGAAATAACTTATTTGTTCAAAATTATTGTTTTAATTTTTTATAAATAGTGTGTTTCCGACTATTGCATAAAATTTTAAAGAAAGAAATGCTGATTCAGTATAATATATTCAAAAATAAAAAAAAAATCGTCAGACAAAAAATATTCTTATAACTAATAAGTTTCATTTGCATTAAATTACTAAAAATACTAACTATACAGCGTGTCCCATAAATAAGTGCAAGTATTTTACTGGTAGTATAGTTCAACCTTAGAAATGCCTATGAGAATTTTGTCGCGAAAAAAAATTTGGAAAATTCGAAATTTTTTGAAAAATTTTTTGGACATTTTTTATAGCCCTAACCCAATATAATTTGACATACAAAATGGCAGTGATCGGAGTCGGTCTATTATAATATGCCTTTTTTATACAAGATTGTTTGTCCGAATATATATATATATATATATATATATATATATATATATATATATATATATATATATATATATATATATATATATATATATATATATATATATATAGTTTTCATGTTAAAACGCTAGTAGGTAATAGCACAGATAACACATAATCTGTGGTAATAGTATAAATAATATGATTTGAATTTAATCCTTTTCTCCTAATAACGTGTTTATGCAAATTAAAATTGAAATGGTATATTTGCGATTTTGGTTCACCCTTTACATACTTTTAAAAGGAAACCGCAGATTGAACAATTTTGTATGAAAAAATTTTATTACTAAGCAATGACAACCTGAATTTGTTCGTAGCTATTTATTAAGTAGCACCCTGCATTAATATTAAAATAAAAAAGCAGAAACTTACATGGTGCTCGTACGCTGCAGCCACGGCCACAAATGCCAAGAAGTAAACCTGAAAAATAATAGAACAAAATACATTCGGGTTAATTGAATGTGAATCTCTCATAATTTAGAAGAAAATCATACCGAGAAAGAGTTCATACTGTTATTGTTCTTTGGACCAACTGATAAATGGTACTATTCACTATCAAAATCAGACTTTATATATATTAGGCCAAAATATGTTATGCCCATATTCTAAGTCAATATTGATTTAGGCATAAAAAATGTTATATAAGTACCAAGGAGTATCTGAAACATACTTTTGAAATTTGTTAATTTAACGCACTCTTAAGCTCAGCTCATTTTTTTTCCTAATCGATTAAATTGCTTTTGAAATACTAATCTAATAGACCTAATATTATTTTAGAAGGATATTGATATTAGTTTGTTGAACATTATATTTTTTTATTAATAACATTTTAAATATTTTAAGTGATTATTTTTTTTATGTAATAAATTATTTACTAAAATTTAATAGATTTGAATTGTAGAATTACAAAATATTAAACTGATTAATAAATTATACCGCACGATAAAAAAAACAGCGTCAAAGACCGCCGGAGAATGACAGTCAATGATAATTTTGGTAAGGTCAATCTCACTTGTCAACAATTAAAACTAATTTTATAAAGATCAAAAAAGAATAGAACCGCTGATCGAGAGAATTAGGAAGATACGCTAACTAATGGGCTAATTCGTATTTTAACAAGGCTGATTTGATTTCCCCTTACGTCTCAAGTGCTGTACGGTGGAGACACCAATCCTTCTGCGACCTATGCTTAAAACACTTATTTTTTCTAATTCGGCCAGCGAGGGCATATCGAAAAGGGTGTGGAACTGAAAGCGACAGTGTTGCCATATTAAAATCTAATAATAAGTTTGAAGAAAATATCTTTGGATGAAAAATCCGCGTTTATGTATTGAAAATGTATTCGTGTTAAACATAGAATAAACAACAAAAATAAAAATTCTTTTATAGGTGCTGAATATGTCTGATAGGTGCTGAAAAAAATCGTTTAGGTGGCTTAGAAACGACAATTATTGACATTTATCATAATATTTTACATATGGGATAACAGCGATCTTCGTTTCCAAGCCAACTCTGACGCCGATCTTTGTTTATCCTATAATATTATATTAACTCATTTAATGATAGAAAATGCGAATTATTAACGTACTATACCAAAAAGCCGTAAATCTACGGATTTATCAGTAGTTCTGGCAACACCGACCGTCTCCAGCAACCACTCTGTCGACTGAAAGCAGAACTACGGTACAGTATTCTTTATCTGACTATCAGCGCGCAGCGGCGCAGAGCTAAACTAAATCTCGGACAGGCTGATGGTAACGCCAGCTACATCCCGGACAGGTTTTGTGCCACGAAATCGCCTATAAGGTTGCGCATCTTCTTATTTCTTCAATCAACGATAGAACGTTTCCAGACACAGAAATCTCTTTCTAAAAATTATTTTTTTCTCGCATTCTAAACTACACCCTTTAAGATTTTTTTATTCAATATAAAAATAAATTACAACCTTCTTAAGGCAAACTGGCAGTAAGCGCCATTAAAAAAATCCGGGCCAGTAATGATGTCTAGGGCTTAACATCGCAAAAATTATCATCGACTATCATTCCTCAGCCGTCTTTGACGTCGTTTTTTTCGATCGTATAGTACAATTTGACATATGTTCAATTAAATTTTGTTTCTATGTTTTGGATGTAGAACTTTTATAAATGTGCATGTTTAAAAAACTCAATCAAAATATGGAGTACTATACCGGGTGCGTCTCAAAAGTGGCTCACCCCTATAACTTTTTTATTTTTTCAGATAAAAAAACCAGATTTGGTATGTTAGTATATGACATAAATTAGGATTGATTGACGTATTCAATTGTTTTCGGTCACTTCCTGTTTCACCGAAAATGTCTACAACTTTGGATGTTTAAATGGCGCCCTCGGTATTTTTTTTACTTTACTGGATAAAAAATAAAATTCTGAATAGAATGACATATCATATGTCAACTTTTGACATTTTCGCATATGGTTTATTTGACATTATAACTTGCGGTTCGTAACGAAAATTTGACTCGAAATACCAAGTGTGTGGTATCAAATTATTCGTAAAAAAATGCTTTTTCCAAATATGCTAATGAGCCACCCTCGTTCCATTTGAAAAAATTGAGATATGATTAAAGATACGATTTGAGCATTTTTTAACGGGCCATTTTAAAGACACTAAAAACATTAGACGATCAAATCTATTTTTCCAAGGCTCCCTGATTAAGAATTAGCGTTTTTAACATAGCCATAGCACTCTAGATTGAATTTTAAAATACGATTTTTTATTAAGCGAGAATGTCAAAAGTTAACATATGATATGTCAGTCTATTTAGAATGTCATTTTCTATCGAATAAAATAAAAAATACCGAGGGTGCCATTTAAAAATCGAAAGTTGTAGTCATTTCCGGTGAAACAGGAAGTGACCAAAAACAATTGAATACGTCAACCAATCCTAATTTATGTCATATACTAACATACCAAATCTCGTTTTTTATCTGAAAAAATAAAAAACTTATAGGGGGTGAGCCACTTTTGAGATGCACCCGGTATTTATTAAGCATTTTAGAACTTTTACTTTTTTATATAAAATATTAATATAATATTCATTCTCAATAATTCTGATTAAGAAAATCCTATTGCATACAGGGTGGTCCGAACTGTATTCCGAAAACTTCGGTAGTATATTCTGCAGTTAAAAATAAATAAAAAACTTCGTCTAAATGTATGTCTTAAAATGCTTAGTTTCGAAGATACAGGGTGTAGAAGTTTCATATTTATTTCGATATTTTTTAAATAAATAAATGATTTCAATCTAATAATTATTTAGTCAACATGTTTAATTTGTGTCAATGATGATAGGTATTGATAATTTCGATTCCAAATATCCCGAGAACCATTACTTGTAGTAATTTTTATCTAGAGACCTTTTTACGTAAAAAACGTAGTGAATGTATATATTTTTACTCTGTAGTTTTATACAGGTACGGACAAAAAGTTATTACTCTTCAGAACGGTTAAAACACATGTAGGTGGCGCCCTCTACAAATAGGAGTCATATTGACATCGAAATCAAATTTCTCGTGTCAAAAAACTCCCAGACACCAATTTTTATCTAAATATTGACGTCACTTCAGAAATTATTTGAAAAAAATCGAAATAAGAATCCGAAACTAAGAATTTTAGGATATACATTTATAGGGACTTTTTTACTTATTTTTATATGCAGAATATTCTGCCAAAGTTTCCGGAATACAGTTCGGACCACCCTGTATAAAAAGCTTTTTTAGATATTTACTGAAATGGATATTTATTAGTCAAGTTTCTGCGTCTTTTAACTTTTATGTTTGTTTTCTTTAAATAAATCTCCTGTCTCAGGTCTGCCACTTGCAGTTATTTAGGAGGTCAGGGTTGCAGCACCAAATGAAAAAGGTCTATTTTTAAAAATGACCGAGCCTAAGTAATTGGGTTATAAGGCCAATTAATTGGTATGAAGCCTAAATGATTTGTTGCTTAAATTTATCTTATCAAATAGCAGATTTTTTCAGATTTATACACTATTAAAATGTAATACATAATTGTCAAATAATTCGCAATAAAACAATATGACTATAAATTTAATATGAAAACCTATTCCGTACAATATTTAAATGTAAATACTATTCCGTAAAGATTTATTAATTTTATAGATGCGATTATAATACCTCTTGTATTGACTAAAATATCTTCAAACATATGGTTCCCCTTCTATAAAATAGTAAAGTTAAAAAAAAAATCAGATATAGGTTTATCTAATATATTGTTATGTAGTTATTAAATAGGTACAACTTTATATTACCATATTCTACCTCTCGCCCTTATTTTAATTTTAATAATTACCCTTATTTTAATAAGGGTGAGACCTTATTTTAGTTAAATTATGATCTAGGATACTGTCATGGAGATATTGAAGAGTAAAGCCTCAAATAAGCCCCAAACTCACTATTCGTTGATGCGGTTCGTCGATGCGGTTCGTTAGTTTGGAAATTCGTCTGTTGTGTTTCTGATATTTCTTTTGATGGTTCGCCCAAAAACCCCGACATTTCGCCGAATCGCCGCATTGACGAACCGCATCGGCGAATAGTGATGCGCTGCGTATTCACTATGCTCTGATCCGTGCATTGTACGTGGATGATGTGGTTCGTCGATGCGATTCGTCCATGCGATATATCAATTCTGTTCTCCATTTTTTTAAACAATTCTAATCCTTCTTTAAGATTAAAAAAAGTGAGATAAGATTATTACTTCAAAATTTCTAAGATACAATTTTGATTATTTTTATTGTCTATAACATAGTTATTAAGTGTAATAGGTTAAGTAATGTTTATAAATATAAAGATATAAAAGCTATTAATATTTTTAAAATTAAGATGTACTGTTGGTGAGTAAAACATGTTATTTGTGCCTTAAAGTATAACAATCATTCTATTAAATAACCCTTAATTATTATTATACGCATAGACGGTGTAGTGGACGGTATACGCATAGTGGAAAAAATTTGAAAACAATACATTTGTAATTGAATCATAAAAAATATAGTCTTTATTTAGAGTACGTAATCGATCATCGATGTTAAGCACCGGTATGCGCGGCCATAATTGTATGGGTGTAATTTTTTTTGAACTTTTACTAATTTCTACAGGAGAGAACGGGGGTGGTGCAAATTTCGAATTGAGTTAACCATGTTATGTGAAGTAGGTATAGTATGAAAGGGCTTCATTGGCACAAGCTTAATAAACGTTCATTGCCCCGCGTGAGTTCATATTAATTCATGAAAATCCTTTATTAATCCTTTATTTTATTTTATTTTTTTTTCTTTGGTAAATAAGGGAGCCCCCTCCCCTTGTTAAATAGTTAAATAAGTCCCCTTATTTAACAAGGAAAAAAAAACATTTTTTTTTAAATAAAAAAAATATACAAGATTGTGAGGTTTGTGTCTCCTTCCCCTTATTAGAGGATTTCCATTAATGTTAGTATAACTACAATTTCTTATAAGTAATTATAGGTTTTGGACACTGAATTTCGGGAAAAGTTGGAAAAACTGCTAGACTGATCGGTTCCCGAACTATTTATAATATGTCGCAAAATAAAAACACTAAATCACCACAATACACCAAAACACTTTTACTTTTACACTGGACGCGCATTTTGCTAACCATGTTAGCATCATCAGCAGATGATTATAAACTCAGTTTATAAACTGGTGTGGTGATTTAGTGTTTTTATTTTGCTGTATAACACCAAAGGTTCCAACCCTCAACTGTAATAATATGTCTCTAGGACTTTGTAGAACCCTCGGGGGGCGAGTCCGACTCGCACTTGTCCGGTTTTTAAATTGTGTAAAGTATTAATTATGATCATGAAATTTGACAAAGCCGAGAGAAGTAGGTTCAGTATCTTTATTTGTATTTTTTATTAAACATATCTAACAATTTGCCGTTTTTTTCCCCACAAATGCATACTAACCGTGACATTATGATGGGCGTCCTTAATTCTCTTACGATTCCCTTTAAACAACCTACTCTCTGGGCTGCACTCTCCGCATCATTAATTCCTTGGTAAACAGTGCACCAAGGCTGGCCGCGGTCAAGGTTGTGCCCATAAAAGGCCGGCGAAGACGCCCACGATTTTACGTACTCTCCGTCAGCTCTTTTATTAATGCTACTCACACCAACCTTAACCCAAAATCGCCTGTCGAATATTATTTCTGTATAGTGTTTTCTCCTCATATCTAGTATCCCGTACGGTTCGGATTTCGTTGTAGTAGTGATTGATGTGTGCCGTTTTCATCCGTTCATCGTGTTTGAGGAATGTTTAGTGTTGTTATTCAACTACCGGACTTGCGTTGGAAGATTTGTATAAACTACGTGACGTCAAAGCTTTCATACTCGGTTCGTAGAAAAGCTAGGTATCGTCTTGTTAGAGTAAATATCGCGAGAATTTTTCTCCTTTCGACATTTCATATATTTTATGGTAATTTGTACAGGGTATCCCATTTTCGTGTGTTTTGCAGGATTTCTCCTTTATGAGTAGAGGTACAAAGATGCGGTTTTTACATTGTCCTAGCCCTCTTAGTTCCTGAAATACAGGGCGAATTAGAAATTGTTGCATTTTTTACTTTTCTTTATCTTGGTTCTTATAACTTGCGTATCGTAAGGTGAAAACTGATACGTCAGTTTTGCACGTTGTTGAATTCTGTGACGTAACTAGTTTTTCGCTGGGAGCAGTCATTTTTGAAATATCAGCCAAACCTATGTTTTTCTAAATGGGACATCCTGCATATTATTATTTTTTATTTTATTTGCCTCCCGACTTCAAATCTTGCTATATTACATCAATAATATTACAATATTTTATCAATAAATGAAAATGGTACACTTCTGCAAGAATTTTTTTTGCGAGTCTATGTTTAGAAACATTTCTAGAATGAAAAACAGAAACGTGTTTTCCTGTAACTGATTTCAGCTATTCTAAAGCTGAAAAAATTAAAATTATGCATTTTTGTTCAAAAATTTTTGTGACCTTCTATTTGGAAAGGCCTTCCAAGTACTAAATAAAGTATTTCTTAGATAACTGATTTCAGCGATTCTAAAGTTGAAAAACTGAAAATGATGCATTTCCGCAGAAAATTTGTGGCATACTATTCAAAAAGGCTTCGAAATACTAATTCTTCCTTATATAACCGATTTCAGCTAAACGAAAGTAGTCCTGATTTTAGCGATTCTAAAATTGAAAAACTCGAAAAGGGTGCATTTCCGCAGAATTTTTTTTATTACATACTATTCGAATAGGCATTCAAATACTAAAAAACAAATATTTCTTACCTAACAGATTTCAAGTAAACGAAAGTTGAGCCCTTTATTTAATTTAACCAAATAATTTTGCTTTCCATCGTATTATCTCAATAAATTACACTGAAAATGAACTTGTGCAACTTTTAGATAACACAACTGTCGATCCGATTTGTTGACATTTTTGATGCATTTCTGCAATAATTTTGTACACAGAAACTAGCGTGAAATAGCCAATAACCAAAATTTGACGTCGAATAAATTAGTTGATTGTAATTACTTAATTTAAACCGTTAAAAAGTTACATATTGCATTTTTTACCTTGTCTAAGAAAATATGTATAGATTATATTATATTTTTTAGAAACCTCATAAACACGGCAACTAAAATTTAAAAAATTATATATATACAGGGTGTCCCATTTACAAAAACGTAAGTTTGGAACTCATTTCGAAAATGATAGTTCTTCCTTTTATATTTACAGTCTTTAATAACTGTTCTGTCCTATTTGAAAAATGTACAGAAAATAAATCCTTTACAGCCTGTAGATCATTTTTTCCATAATACCACTAAACTATTTTTTTCTTCAGTATGTATAATTCATATTTACAAATTATGTTTGGCACGTATAAAGTAAATATGACATTAAAAAAATGAATCTTAAAATTATTTTTGGCAACAATAACATCAGTTTGACATTAAAAAATTGAATCTGAATGTGGATCAGGACCGAATTAATTTTCCAATTAATTTCTTATTTTCTTCTTTCATAACTTCAAAAGGAATTCGTACCAAAATGTTAATTTTAAGGAGTTCTTTAAAAAGTTTCAAACACATTTTTTATGTTCAAATTGACGATGCAACAGACTGTCGTGTTAGAAGAATACGTTTGATTAGTAGTAGATTTCATAATATTACTTTTTCTATATTTATATTATGATAGTCTCGTTTCAGATTGCTTTAGAATAGGATTAGATTTAGAACAAGAAGCATGTCGACCGTTGAAAGAAAGGAGTACCATGAAACGAAAATATCAAGAAGTCGTTCTCCTATTCGAAACACGAGAAGCTCGAATCAAAATTTGTCGCAGTTCGATTCAAACTTAGGTAAGTTAGAAAGTAGAAGTACAAGATATTCATGAATAAACTACTAACAGACAGAGAGCTGGCTACATAAAAAACCTTATCATCGTTACATGGCTAATTTTTCTTGTGAAGTATCTTTTTGTGTAGCCATTATGAAATAGTCATGTCTGCCAGCGCGATTCCGGGGCTTAAAGCGGTGGCGGCCAATCGAAAGGGTGAAATTTTGACACTAAAAATATTATAAGATACACGAGTTATAATTACGAAAACAGCTTTTATTTATTATTAAGAAACGTGGAAAATAGTTGGCAGACATTTTTCTCGTGGCTAAGATGCCGGCAGACAACGCGAAAGTGGCATGAAATTTTGACAAAAAAAATCATCGCATACATGCATGCCGATTGGTGGAATGTCATGTTTATTTATTTAAAAAGCCGTATACAAAAGGGCAGACAAAAAAATCGTGGCTCAATCAACGGTAGACATTTATCAAAAGCCCGATATTACCCTACAGGGTGAGTCTAAACTAAGTGCAAATATTTTCAGAGCTGGTAGATCTCGATAAAAGAAACATATTTTCTCTTTACCATTTTCCAAACAAGTCCAAAATAACCCAGTTATTCAAGTTTGAAATTTTAAAAAGAAATTGATTATTTTTAAATAATTTTGCGAGCCACCTGTTTTTTCTGTATTTGCATCCATGCTTTTAGTGTCGTAACCATAGACATATATAAAGCCGTAAGCATTGTAGATGGTAGATTAAGCAATAATTATACCGTGGGTAAATTTGCGGTGTACAGGCAGTTCTAAAGTTTTCTAAAATATACAGAAAATTTTTAAAAATTGTACGATTTTCAACATTTTTCTTTGCGAAAAAAAAACCTCATAGACGTGTTCCTGGAGTCCAAATATATCACCCCTAAAATTATTTGCTCTTATTTAAGACGCACCCTGTATAAGCGCTTTCCGGAAACGCTCGCCGCGTTATCAATTGAAACATAATACATGAAGTCTACAAAAATTTTATGGTGCAGATAGCGACTCAGAGGAGATTGCAGTAAGACGAGTCAGATACAAATAGTGACACAGAATAGTAAATGTATGATATCTGTTATTGAAATCATAAAAAAATATATTTATAATATAATCGTATACATGATTTATCTATACTGATTTAGCCACGATCTTTTTGTCTGCCCTTTTGTATACGGCTTTTAAAATAAATAAATGACATTCCACCAATCGGCATGCATGTATGCCATGATTTGTTTTCAAAATTTTATATGCCTCTTTCGCGTTCTCTGCTGACATCTTAGCGACGAGAAAAATGTCTGCCAACAATTTTCCACGTTTCTTAATAATAAATAAAAGCTATTTTCGCAATTATAACTCGTGTACCTTATAATATTTTTAGTGTCAAAATGTCACCCTTTTGATTGCCGCCCCCACTTTAAGCCCGGGAATCGCGCTGGCAGACATGACTATTTCATAATGGCTACATAAGAGGATACTTCACAAGAAAAATTAGCCATGTAAAGATAAGGATTTTTTATGTAGCCAGCTCTTAGACTATAATTTTGGAGTTAATCCAGTAAAATTGTATCGCCGTATAGAGAGTGAAAATAAAAAAATTACGGGCAGCTGATTTTTTCAGAGTTTGTCAGCGACTATCTTCTGAGTGTTAAATTAACAAAATCAGAAATTCTCCCCTTGCGGTTTTTGAGCAATAGGGGTGTTTTTTTTAAACTATACTACAACAAAATAATTAGACGCAAATTGTACATAAGAACATTCTCTATAAGTTCACCTAATGAATTTTTTTATAAGTCTATTATTTCCGGACTTTTCATGAGCCCTTTGGGGTGGTTTCCAAAAAGTTTGTTATACAGCCAATTGACCCGTATGAAAGTTGTTCATAATAAATGGACAAGCAACTTTTCCTCATGAATTTTTTTTGTAGCTTGATTATTTTTGGAGATAGCATCCAGTTCATGAACAAATTAGGGTAGTTTTCAATGTTACTCTTTTTTCAGCAAATTCACCCTAGGAAACTCGTTCAAAATAAGAGTACATATACCTTTGCCTTATGAACTATTTTTGTCACTTGACTATTTTTGGAGATAGCGCCCAAAAATCTCAAAAAAAAAATCAAAAATCAATCTCCAAAAATAATGAAGCTACAAAAAAAATCATGGGGAAAAGTTGCTTGTCCATTTATTATGAACAACTTTCATATGGGTCAATTTGCCGTAAAACAAACTTTTTGAAACCACCCCAAAGGGCTCATGAAACGGCCGCTAAGTCCGGAAATAATAAACTTATAAAAACAATTCATTAGGCGAACTTATAGAGAATGTTCTTATGTACAATTTGCGTCTAATTATTTTGTTGTAGTATACAGTTTTAAAAAAACCACCCCTATTGATCAAAAACCGCAAAAGGAAAATTTCCGATTTTGTTTATTTTACACTCAGAAGACAGTCGCTGACAAACTCTGAAAAAATCAGCTTGCCCGTAATTTTTTTTTTTCAAATGACAATTTTATTGGACTAAGTTGCATTAGTGATATACGTAACGAATTATTTATTCAGATTGGGGAATTTTAAATACAGTATTGGAAGTAATGCAGTTATGGCTTAGCTTAAACATATCCTCTAATATTATGTCTTTCAAATTAACTGAAGTTTATATTATGATCGTTATAAATTGTTTCAGATTATCTTCTGGAAGATTTGCAAAACTCCGTGTCGAGACCCGGCAGTTCCTTAGGCCAAAATGCAAGTTCCAGCTACAAAGAAACTTCCAAATACATTAGCAGCAGTACTGACGGCTATGGAAAGACGAACTCCCTTAATAGAATTTCGAATGTAAAAGCTGCCAACCCTGTAACAGAATACTCATCTGACGATGCCTATACGTACCAGGTATATAAGAAGATATATTGTAATTATTAAGAAATTTAGAGATGGATTGGGCAGATTAAATAATATAAGTGTAATATAATGATCACACGTTATACTCCGTTATAGCCTCAAATAGAGAGAGAGATCACAGATCACAGGGCAAATATTTGGCAACATTAATATATGTATTTGATATTACACGCTAATGGGTGAATTTGAAAATGTTACATTTTTCGACCCCCTTCATTATCTTTTATCGAAAACTGATACAACGTGAGTTTTTCACGTAGAATCCAGTGGCGTAACTAATTTTTTGCTGGGAGTCATTTTCGAAATATGACTTAAGCTTGTATTTTTTTAAAATGGGATGCTCTGCATTTTTTATTTTATTTGCCTTATTATGAGAATTCTAAAAACATAATATACTCTACACTCATTTTCATAAATAAATGAAAAAAGGCATTATTTATTTACCTTTATATAACATATACCAACCTAGTTTAAAGAAGTATTAGTTATTTTAATTTAATTTAACCACATATAACTATACTGAAAATGAACTTGTGCTGCTTTTAGATAACAGGTTGTCAATCAGAGTTATTTTTTATACACCTGTGCAATAATTTCATACACAGAAACTAGCACCAAAATTTGACGTCAAAAAAATTATTCTATTGTTTTGATTATTTAGTTTAAAACTTTTGATTACATAATACCTTGTTTATTTAAATAGGTATAAATTATATACTTCGAAAACTCATAACAAGGAAAATGTGTGTAAAAAAATAATATACAGGGTATCCGAGTTAAAAAAATAAGTTTGGGTCATTTCAAGAATGACAGCTCCCAGCGAAAGACTAGTTATGCCACTGAATTATACGTCAAAAACTCTATAGATACCCGAGATATAAAGAGGCTCACAAAATGCAAAATTTTCAAATTTTCCCTGTATTTCAGAAACTAAAAGGGCTAGGACAAATCTGCGTGTAGCATCTTTAGTTTCATAAAAAAAAGTAGCGCAGCAATGTGCGCAGCAAAAACCCTGTGATCATAAACGTGAAACAGTGTAAAACGCATGAAAATGAGACACCCTGTATAATAACAATCTGATATTGCTAATACTTTCATATACATATGTCGCATTTTTACCAGTTATAGATCGCGTTATTACAGATTTCATATTTTGATGGTATAACACAAGGAGGGTCGCAATCTCCATATCAGGTTTTGTTTGATTAGAAAGGAATTATATACACTTTACGATTTATTTTCATTAAAGAGAAAATTACTCTATATATATCGATAGAGTTTGGGTATATAATATTTAATAAGTTTTATTTATACTAAAGTTGTATTAAAGTCTGTGTTTATTTATAATATAAAATATTGAGTATTAATTAAAACAAAAATACTCAACCCAACCGCTATCGAGCAACATACCCGAAAAATTAATGCGTACTGTTACTTTCAGACTCTGCTATATCTCGTCGCGTTATTGTTTCAGATAACTGCTTTTCCATACCTGTTATTTTTTGGAACTTTTTAAAATTTCCAGTAAAATTTTAAAACCTTTACCAAACCTTTTCTTAAACTAGTAGAACAGAAGACATAAAATTGTAACACAACAAAATATTAAAATTTATTTAGGCGGTTTAGTAACTACTATTTCGGGTACAATAAGAGGAATATTGCTATTAAAATATACCGGGTGCGTCTCAAAAGTGGCTCACTCCTATAACTTTTTTATTTTCTCAGATAAAAAATCGAAATTTGGTATATTAATATATGACATAAATTAGGATTGATTGACGTATTCAGTTGTTTCCTGTCACTTCCTGTTTCACCGGAAATGACTACAACTTTTGATTTTTAAATGGCACGCTCGGTATATTTCTGCTTTATTCGATAGAAAATGACACTCTGAATAGAATGACATATCATGTGTCAACTTTTGACATTTTCGAACATGGTTTATTTGAAATTGCAACATGCGATTCATAACGATAATTTGACTCGAAATACCAAGTGTGTGGTACCAAATTATTGTATATATATGCTAATGAGCCACCCTCGTTCCATTTGAAAAAATTGAGATAGGTATGATTAAAAATACTATTTGGGCATCTTTTAACCGACCTGGACAAGACACGAATAACATTAGACGATCAAATCTATTTTTCCAAGGCTTCTTGACTAAAAATTAGTGTTTTTAACACAGCCATGGCACTCTAGATTGAAATTTAAAATTCAATTTCGTTTTAAGTAAAAACTTCAAAAGTTGACATATGATATGTCATTATATTAATATAATAAAGTAAAAATAAATAAAGTAAAAAAATACCGATGGTGCCATTTAATCAAAAAGTAGTCATTTCAAAAGTTGCAGTAATTTCCGGTGAAACAGAAAGTGACAGAAAACAATTGAATACGTCAATCAATCCTAATTTATGTCATATACTAACATACCAAATCTCGTTTTTTTATCTAAAAAAATAAAAAAGTTATAGGTGTGAGCCACTTTTGAGACCGGTATTTATACAGTTTACAGTTCATACTGTTCATACCAAATAAACCTTTAGTCACGTGATTAAGCTTGACCGGCGTTTTATATATATTCTTTTAATCAAAATATTTTAGGAAACAAAAATAAATTAATTATAAATATATAAACAGTTATTATTAACATCAACAAAACTCACACCTTCTTAAGAGCACTTAAGGGACATAAAGGGGCGTTACTACCACATATGAATGGGAAATTCAAAATACGACTATTAAGCTATCTTGTACACTTCGCACTAAAAGAGGTTCTAAAAAGAACAATGTCCGACTGCAAGGTCAGTTAGTAAACATTTTGAAGCTTAAGGTATCACAACACTATTTATTAAAACCTAAAACTCGTAGTATAAAACTATAGTTTCAAAACGAATGACAACGTCAGGAAATAAATAAATAAATGCGGCAACTTGACATTTTTTACAACAGAGCTACCACATGAATCCCCCGCGCGAAATTTAAATTCCAGTTAGTCAACGCGGCGCCGAATATGTCCATGGTTGGCAACAATGAATTTAAAGATCGCGCACTCGATTACGTAACTAAAAGTTAAATTGATATCAAATATACTTACCTACAGTCAATCTGGAATTCATTCTAATAAGTAATATTCATAAATATCACCTATCAAATACAATTACATAAATTTTTAGAAAATAAAAGCTAAACAAATATTTTCGAATAGAGAAATTAATTGACTAAATTGATTTTAAAATCAAACATAGTTGTATCTATCAAGGTTAATATTCCATTAGTAATAAAGCCATAAAGAATTATGACCTAAAAGATAAAACTATATTTTGTTAATAATCTTAAAATGGAATAAAATGTTGTATGTGTCGGCGAATTTCTTATTCGGATTAATTGAAGTCAAGGTTAAAACAGTTGCAGAAATACCGAAACATTATTTTCATGTCTTTATAGGAATTTCAATATTGCGAAATATTTCTATTTATAATTAAACTGAACAGATGTCTCAAAGATATTTTTATTAAAAAAAAAATCCTCCAAATGTTTATATCTAGTGAGAAAGCTATTAAAATTAATATCACCATATAATTAATATTAACCATTAATCTAATATTATTAATTTAAATAAAAATAGATAATAGTTAATTTGAGAATTAATAATTTAGAATTACTTATATTTTTCTATATGTGGGACTTTATTATAACTCTTATCACAAACGAATCTGTGTGTTTCTCAAAAAACTTCAAAATTAGTTTAAATAATGGATATGAAGGGCGAGTCTTCAATAAGTGCATATATTTTGTTTGAAACATTTCTATGAGGGTTTTTTCGCAAAAAATGATGTTGAAAATCGTGCATTTTCTTTTAAATTTTTCTGCATATCTTCGAAATTTCTGCCTGTTCACCGCAAATTTTACCATGGTTACGCCACTAAAAGGGATGCAAATACAGAAAAAATCTGATGGCTCTCAATTTTTTTTGTACGCAGCGTCTAAGTGTGTTTGATCTAAGTACATTAATAAGAGGCGCTCAACGTCCAAGTATACTTGGATCCAATATGGTATTATATTATTTCTTCATTTCGCACTTTTTCCAATTTTAATTTTTTTGCCGATCTTCTGAGAAAGTCCATTTCAGTTGCTAAAAGCTTTCCTTCCATGGACTTGCTTCTCTGCCATACTTCAGCGCCATATGTAACTATGCTCTTAACTATAGTGAGTTTTTGTTGCGATATTTATATTTTTTGCCAAAGAATCGAATTTACTACCCCTGTAAAAATATATATTCCTAATAAAAATAGATAAGTTTTATTTAATAACACAAACATCAGATACGCTACTGAAGCATGTAAGCACCGAATATCTAGCGTAGCTAGATATTCTGTGATGTAAGTCAAATTGATGTATCTAAATTATTTTTGACAAGTGTTAAAATAAAATCGAAAATGTAAGAAATTAATAATATACAATATGATTGAGAAAAAAACGGCGTCAGCGATGGCTATGAAATGAAGATCACTGTCATTTTATATGTAAAATTATATGGAGAATGTCATACATCGTCATTTCCATGCCAACTGGACGCCGTTTTTCTTTCGACCATACGGTATAATTGGCTAATTCTAGGTGAATTCTATAACTGATCGAATTACTATACGTTTACATATTATATGATTAGTCACTTACCAGTAAAAAGTTATTCAATTATTTCCCTCGATTTTTGTCCGAGATCTATCTCCATATACGTATTACTTTTTACAAATATACTCAGGGTTCCCTATTAACCCCGTGTGCAATTTCTGTGCCGTAAGAAAAAGACAACATAACCCAGCTCCATATTAAAACTGCATAAGTCTATTTCACCCGGATATAGATTGAACTGCGATTGCGCCAAACTCCGATTGATTGTTATTTTAGTTCTGTTTGGATTACTTTTTATTTGTGCGCGTAAAAGAGTGATTTTGTTTAGTTTATTGTTTCCAACTATTTTTTGATATTTTTCCAACTCCATGATAATGTGTTATAAATAATAAAAATATAAATAAAATTGAAGGTTAGGGGAAATGTCAGTCAACCACTTCCCTTTAAAAACATCGACCAATGAAAACTTCTTCAGGTGAGGCATGCTCAGTTAAATGAATATCCGAGTGAAATAGACTTATGCAGAATTCCATATTGTTCTTTCACTGTTTGGGCTTCACTTTTTGGAGATTAGGCTGAGTATATTTGTAAAAAGTAATACGTATATGTCTATCTCACGCTACACAACACATAACCACTTATTTTCAATGACTAAAGAATATAAGGACATGTAACGCCCCTATACGGGCTGCAGCAGAATTTCTGACCTTAGAGATCTTTCTTTTGGTGGCAAACAATGAGTCATCATTTGGTGACCAGCAACAATTTTAGCGATTTTTAATAGTTTGTGTGTAGTAAACTTTGTATAAACTTTATTACAATGGTGATTAGTTGTTCAGCTTTCAAGTGTAAAAGCAGCAGCGATAAGAATGAGCCCGGATGAGTTACGTTTCATAGATAAATAAACAGTCCACTTCAACTTTTTAGCGTTTTCTTATTGAATTCGATAATTATTCTTCAATTTCAATTAACATCTATATGTACTTGATGTGTGCTATAGTCGATACTAGTTTTGTACCTTTTGTTAACATTTTAATACGTTTTTTTCGTAATTAATTAGGATGATACACCATAGGCGTAGACAAAACAATTATCAAAAAATATAAATATTGCTTTAAACAGCTAAGTTAAAAAACATATGTGCCACTGCACTGTTTGGTGACATCGGCACAATTTGCTCTCGGGTATTATTTGTCCTTGGATTCTTTAGTCATTGCTTATTTTACAGTCTTTTTCGATAAATCGCAATAGTGTCACTGTCAATTTAAGTTCTGACACAATTTCCTTCTAGATTTACTACCTATAAGCAAAATATTAAACAAAACCAATTGTAAAATAAATAATAAATAACACAATAACATAGCTCAGTAAAGACATACAAAACACAAATCCACAAAATTTTAAATCAAATGCAAATGTTTCAATTGAAACGTCAAACAACTGTTATGAGGACCTATGATATTGTTGCGGACCCGTGTGGACTCGGCCTAACCTGACTAATACCAAAGCTAATATGCTCCGCCCCCATTCGAGAGCGAGTCAAATAATCTGGAGAGACAGAGAACGGCGGAGAGACGTAAAAAGAAAATTCGAGTAAGATCTAGACTGTCGGTTTCTCTCATACATAAACCGACGCCTAGGGCCTGAGGAGGACAGATTCAAGCAGATCGGTCGACGCGTACAATTGCCGCGCTAAATTCAAAATAAATTAATTTTAGATAAATACCACACGGAACCGACAAAAAACGTAACAATATCGATCCTGTCTACCAATATGAATGCCCTTAATCTCTTCCTTAATCTTTTTATTCAAAGTTACGCATATTCAGCATATTGCGATTCTTTTGGCCAAAAAATAATAGAATTAATCCTTTACGCCATATAGAAAAATGATGATTTTGTGAATAGATTTCAGGACTATGACGAAACATTTTTGGAAGAAATTGAATTAATGAAAGAATGATATAGTCTGTCCAACGAGAGAATACAGGACAGTGTCTGCCATTTTAATTCAAAGATAAATTGTTTTATTATTTTATGTAATTTTTGGACCTCTTCTTTATCAAAATATTCCGTGACTTGTTAGATAGACTATATTTGTCTCCCATTGATACTTATGTTTTTGTAATTTTTTTAGTCTCCTGATGGTAGAGGAAAGGTGCATTCTTACAAAAAAGAAAAATACATGTATGGAAAGAATGTCGTTGAGAGGGACATCGAACCAGAAAGGACGAGAATGCAGAATAGCATCAACCAATTAGATTCGCTTTTAGACGACTTGCAACAAGTGAAGAAGTCCTCATATACTGAAAAGGGTAAATAATATTTACATATCAACTTATATCTATTAATTATTAGATAATATGATAAGTAGAATATCAGTAGAAAGTTGCTACTCAGTTCTAGTTACACACAAAATTATACTTTTTTTATGTTAATTATACTTTTTGTATGTAAAGTTCCTCATATCTCATCCACGTGTCCTGATTTTGGGCCTCTTGTCTCCAGTTGGTGAGCTAGTTCCGGTTGGTCATTTTTTTAAGAAAAAAATGTCAAGTTGACATAAGATATGTCATTCTATCCAGAATGTCATTTTCCATCAAATGAAGTAAAAAAAATACCGATGGTACCATTTCAAAACTCTGAAGTTGTAGTGATTTCCGGTGAAACAGAAAGTGACCGAAGCTAATTGAATGCGTTAATCAATCTTGATTTATGTCATAACTAACATACGAAATCTCATTTTTTTATCCGAAAAAATAAAAAAATTATAGGGGTGAGCTGCTTTTGAAAAATACCTGGTATATTATTATTTTTTGATTATGCTATTTTTATTAAATATTTTATTTGTGATATTGGAAAGAAAAAAATCAAAAAAGTAAATTCATATCGCAAAACATTAAAAATTTTGGTGAACTAAGCAAGCATTGTATATTTAAAACTTTTCGTTTGTTTTTCAGAATCCTATAATAGCACTGGCCCGGATCCAACTTTTCAGTGAGTATTAAACTGGAATATATTATAGATATCTGATGCTTTTTTTATTATTGCCGTTCTTTTTCATTGTTTATACTTAGATGATTGGTCGATTATAAATAAGTTATTATTATAGGATATCGTAAATCATAATTATTACAGCTAATTTCATTTAATAATTTAAATTATTTTATACTGCAATTTATTTTCCGTATTAGAAATAAGAATGTCCCATTAATTTTTTTCTTGATAATATAAGACTTTTCGAAAAGGACTAAAAATTCAGGAACTTGGAAAAAAACTTGGAAAACAAAGGAAGTAAAAACTCGAGACAGTAATTAAGCTTCAATGAGATTCAGAACCTCGAAATTAGTGGTTTCAATTATACTTTATACTTAAAAGTTTACGATCATTCACAATTTCTAAAAAACACAATTAAAATTAATAAAATATCCTAGCAAGAGGTTGCGTTAGTCAGTTGTGTCCATAGAGAAAGCCTAATAATTAGCTTATAAAACAATAAACTTTTCATTTCAAACCACAATTTCTCTTGACGGATGATCATCAAAGGTCAAAATGCCATTACTCGCAAATTTTGAAATATAATTAGCGGCAAAAGTTAAAAGTTTGTTAACTTTTCTACTAGATAATTGAAAACTACTACCGTTAATTTTGACGTACATAAAATGTACGTCAAAGAATGCTTACATTGAGATTAGAGGACAAAGTTCTACGTTAATTGAATCCACTAATTTATGCCACTAATTTCGGGGTTCTTAATGACGCTTAAGAGATAAAATATCACTGGGGACAATTCAGCTAAAATATTTTCATGATAGCGGTACTTGGAGTTATATTTGAGGTTATAGATTTAAAACCTTTTTTTTAAATCTGTTTAAAAATGGTATTGTTGAGGGAAAAATAGTTTGAGGATGTCATATTTGTCTTTTTTTATAAATTCTAAAATTGACTATGAAAAACTCAAGACTCTATGGAATTGAATTACATTGTACAGGGTGGATCAAATTCGACGCTTTTAAATGGAAACACCCTTTTCTATAGGAGATAGACAAAAACTAATATCGGTGTCTGGAGCTCAATTTTTGTAAAAAACATGATGGTGAAAACCACATACCGATATCTGTTACCGTTTCGGAGTTACGGGGTGTTTTTCAAAAATATGCATTTTTAACGAATCGCTGTAACTTTTTTGCTATGGAAAATTTTGTATTTTTATGAAAACATTTCCAAAGCACCTTTTTACGTAGAATTTAATGGTTTAAGTATATATTTTTTTAAATTAATAGTTTAAGAATTATCAGCAGAAAATTTGATTCTTTATATGGGACACCCTGTATATTTTTAATTTATTGAAAATAATTTCAAATTACCTTTCCAAAAATATAACCCATTTGATATTTTGCCCGATTCCTCTGCGAGATATAGAGTATATAAAAATTCGTCCGCTTTAAATAAGTAGGCTTTGAACGGCACCGGCTGTAATGCAAAAAAATTCTAGCTGTGAGCATCAATTAAAACGAAAATAATATTTGCTATGAGAGATGCAGAATTTTATAACAATTTAAAATATATTTAACCAACATCAACACATTTAAACTATATCTTATAACAATAAAAATAAATAGCAAACTTAGACATGAGATTTCGCTACAAGTGTTCGACATATCGACCGTCTTCTGTTATGGACTTCGGGCAGTTTTTGAACATTTCTCGCGGAATTCATTAACTCAGAGGGGGTGAAAGATACCCTTTCATAACTGCTAAGTATTTCTAATTCTTGTCTAGATTATACGGATGAATAAGGAACCTTTATTCTTCCGCAAATATATCCATAGGATTAGATCCATGGGCACTAAGTCAGGCGGCCTCGACGGCCAACGGCTGGGATCTTGGTTATCTATTCAAATATTCTTGAAATTGGCTGCAAAAATTTGCTGATAACTTCCAGCGTTCAGAGGCGGTGCGTCGTCTTGCTGGAACAATATATTTTCGCGTTCCATTAAGGGAATATCATCAATAAGAGGTCCAAAGCCTACTAGTTAAAAATGGCGAACTTTTAAAAATTCTGTATTTCGAAGGGGATTATAACAAGATACCAAGTGTGCTATATTTTTAGAAAGGTAATTTTAAATTCTTTTCAGTTAATTAAAAATATAGAGGGTGTCCCAAATAAAAAATCAATTTTTCTGTTGATAACTCTTAAATTATTTATTTTAAAAATATTATACTTAAACCATTAAATTCTACGTAAAAAGGTGCTTTGGAAATATTTTCATGGAAATACAAAATTTTCCATAGCAAAAAAGTTACAGCGATTTGTTAAAAATGCACATTTTTGAAAAACACCCCGTAACTCCGAAACGGTAACAGATATTGATGTGCGATTTTCACCATCATGTTTTTGATAAAAATTGAGCTCCAGACACCGATATTAGTTTTAGCCTATCTCCTATAGAAAAGTGTGTTTCCATTTAAAAGCGTCGAATTTGACCCACCCTGTACATACGCGAAATAAACAATTTCAGTTTTATAAAAAAAAGCATACATAGTTCTTCTCAAAAGGTAGTTAATTGCATATATTTTTACTTGTTAACATTTAAATTCAATGTGACTAATAAAGTGTTACAGTTGGGGGTTGGAACCTTTGGTGTTACACAGCAAAATAAAACACTAAATCACCACAATACACCAAAACACTTTTACTTTTACACTGGACGCGCGTTTCGCGAACCATGTTAGCATCAAGACTCAAGATTGAGATGAGTCTTAATCATCTGCTGATGATGCTTAGCGAAACGCGCGTCCAGTGTAAAAGTAAAAGTGTTTTGGTGTATTGTGGTGATATAGTGTTTTATTTTGTTAATAAAGTATTGTATGGAATAAAATATAGAATAACAAGCAAATAAACAGTATTGCAAATATAACAGTGATACTATGATAAAAGGCGACATTTTTATTTTTTGTCATATTTTCCACATTCTCAAAACAACTAGTGTTATACAGGGTGGTCCGAATTGTAATCGGAAAACTTCAAAAGCATATTTTGCAGATAAAAATAAGTAAAAAAGTTCGTATACATGTATGTCCTAAAATGCTTCGTTTCGGAGATACAGGGTGTTGAAGTTTTATTTTTATTTCGATTTTTTTCCCAATAACTATTAACGTCCGTACTTGTATAGTTTTATACTGAGTGACAAAATATGTATTTCCGTAATTTTACGTAAAAAGGTCTCTTGGCAAAAATCGCTACGAGCAACCTTAGACTCGAGCAACCATGTGGAATAGGTTTCCAAGATATTTGGAATGGAAATAATCAATACAATTCATCATTGACAAAAAAATTTGGAAATGTTTCTGTGCTACAGGTTAAACAGAAATTGTTTTATCAGAATTTTTTCAAAAAAAATTGATTAATCTAAAATAATAAAGTTCCCAGATTTTCGTTTCAATCAAATAACTATCTAGTCGACATTTTTATTTTTTGTCAATAATGATACGTATTGATAATTAACATTTCAAATATTTTGAGAACGGTTAGTCGTAACAATTTTTACTAAGAGGCCTTTTAAGCAAAAAATATCGGAATGTGTATTTTTTCCCTCAGTAGTTTTACACAGGTACACACAAAAAGTTATTACTCTTCAAACCAGTTAAAAATATGTAAGTGGCGTCTCCTACAAGTAGGGGTCGTATTGCCATAGAAAACAAATTTTACATGTAAAAAACACCCCGACGAAATCGAAATAAAAATGAAATTTCTACACCCTCTATCTACGAAACGAGGCATTTTAGGACACCAATTTATAAGAAAATTTTTACCTATTTTTATTTGCAGGATATGCTGCAGAATAAGTTTCCGAATACAATTCGGACCGCTTTGTGTATTTACCTTAAAATGCAAGAAATTAAACTAGATAGAAAGCTATAATAATAATATTTTGAAAATTATTTTCATTAGGTACTTATACCACACGATCGAAGAAATATACGGTGTTGGTGCTGGCTTCGAAATGAAGCTCGCTGTCATTTTATATGTAAAACTAGCGTGTACCAGCGACTTCGTTCGCGTCGAATTAATCATTTATAATGGTGATGATAAAGCAAAGCAAGAATTTCCATTAACATACAAACTGGATAAAATTTTCTCACATTTATGTCAGCATGAGAAAAAACAATATGGCGATATTATTATATAACTTCGTAATATTTGAGGGGTGGTTTGATCTCGTTGGAATTTGACTTTCGAAAAATCCGTTTGCCAAAAATAAGCTTTTTACGTCAAGCAGTTTAAGCAGAATCGTGGTTAAAAAATTACCCAACTTTTTGGAACACCCTGTATGTTTTTTTAAAAAATTTCAAAATATGTAAAAAAACCAAATAAATTATGCGTGTCCAAGCGTTTTCCCGAAAGACTAACCGTTTTTTAAATAACAAATATTGTAATATTTGAAGGGCGTTTTCACCCTCTTGGAATTTGAGATTCGAGAAACCCCTCCTTATCGAATCTCTACACCCCACAGTCAATCCGTTTGCCAAAAATCAGATTTAAACGTCAAGCAATTTAAGCAGCATCGTGATTACTCAATGGTCATATTTTATGAAACACCCTGTATAAATTTATAAATTTTAAAAAAATCTTAAAATATGTAAAACAACAAGATAAAATATACGTGTTTAAGAGTTTTTCCGAAAAACTCACCGGTTTTTAAATAAACAATATTTTAAAATTTGAGGGATAGTTTCACCCCCTTAGAATTCGAGTTTCGAAAAATCCCTTTTTATCGAACCTCTACACCCTAAAGTCAATCTGTTTTCCAAAAATCAGCTTTTTACGTCAAGCGCTTTAAGCAGGATCGTGATTAATCAATGACCAGATCTTTCGAAACACCCTGTATACATTTTTAAAAAATCTTAAAATGTGTAAAAAAACAAAATAAAATATACGTGTTTAAACGTTTTTTCGGAAACTTGACCGTTTTTTAAATAAAAAATATTGTAATATTTGAGGGGTGGTTTCACCCTCTTGGAACTGCAATTTCGAAAAATCCCTTCTTATCGAACCTCTACTCTCTTTGAGCAGGATCGTGATTAATCAGTATGTCAGTCACTTAAGGATTTTATATATTAGTATAAATTATATGGGAAATGTCATCGATCATCGTTTCTAAGCCAAGCCAACTTGACGCGGTTTTTTTTTCGATCATACGGTATGCCTTTTATTCGCAATAATATCTTTGTTTAGAAGTAACAAATCGGTGAACAGAGAACTTCACTATGGTGATACTCCTTCCAGAAGTAAAACATATGAACGCTTTGAGGAAAAGAGCTATAAGAAGGATGGATATTCGAGTGAAGGTATAGGAATCAGACTTCTTTAATCCAAAGTAATTTTTGTGTAATAACAGGAACCTATGGCGACCTCAGACCGCTGCGTACGACGTCACCTTCTCCATCCTCGAGGACTTCAACACTGTCAAAGCAAACCAAAGTATCCAACGTCCATGAATATCCAATACGGGTTCTGGAAACTCCAGTTCCCGACATAGATCCCGAGGTCTTAGCTCATTTGGATCCCAATTTGCATCCACCAGGTATAAATACCATAAGATCGAAAAAAAGGTGTTAAAGAGAGCTGGGCAACGACAGTCGATGCTAAATTTTAGCGAGGTCAAGCCCAAGTGTTTATTTTTTAATGGCGCTTACTGCCAGTTGGTCTTAAGAGGGTTGTAATTTATTTTTATATTGAGTAAAAGTGATTTTTAAATGGTGTAGTTTAAAATTCGAGAAAAACTATGTTTTTGAAATAGATTTCTGTGTCTGGAAACGTTCTATCCTTTTTAAATCTTTCTATTGCTAAAATTATTACCGATTGTCATTCCCCACCTTCTTTGACGCCGTTTTTTTTCGATCATACGGTATATTTACAATTAAATGGAATCCCATATCACATACAAGGATAACTATTTGTTATTTTCATATTACTACATTTTCTTACTTCTATAAATGTTCGTATTTGTTTGTAGGTAACACGAAAGTTACGACTACGATTAAGACATATACATACGAAATACCCGGATCAGGAAACTATCCTACTCAGGTTAAGGAAGATACCAGTATCAGCGAGCAATATTTGGACAAAATGGAAAAATATGTTTATTCTCCAAATGAAACTATTACAACTCCCAGCAAGAGTTTCGTCTACAACAAAGTATGTATTATTATATTCTTACTCTAAAAGTATTTATAGATTCCCTATTTTTAATTCTTAGTAAGTACAATAATCTTATATGTGTATTATATGTATGTATGGATAAGGTACGCTTAACGGATACTAATTTCGAAATATTTTATGGTTGCAAACAATTCATACCTACCGGGTGCGTCTCAAAACTTGCTCACAGCTATAACTTTTTTATTTTTTCAGATAAAAAACGAGATTTGGTGTGTTAGTATGACATAAATTAGTATTCAATTGTTTTGAGTCCCTTCCCGTTTCACGGGAAATGACTATAACCACAGACTTTAACTTAATAGGTTTTAGTTTCTAGGAGATCAAATAAAATCTTGCAGAACTTTACTAAAATTCTCTTTGTGTCCTTTTTATTTCGTTTGTATTTTATAACGATTATATTTTTAACGCATGCCGAATTTAGCTATTAGGTAGTTGCTTTCAAGAAAATTGTTTAATTTTTCCAATTTTGTCGAACTTTAGGTGCAATCATCTACATGGTTACATTGAATAAAGAATAAAAAAAAATATTCTTTATTCAATGCTCTATATAGGAAATTCTCAATATCATCCACTCAAAAAAAAATCAATTCAAGATCAAAAAGATTTCAAAAAATTCTAGTACTACCATTAATTATTTATTTTAGATTGAAAACACCGAAAATGTGTTTGAAAAATCGAAACCTGCGCATATCACTAAATCGTATGAAGAAATAGTTAAAGATGATGTTTCTTATTACCCGCCCTACCAAAAACCAGCCCCACCTAGTGGATACTCTACATTAAAAGAAACGGTCACTACTAGAAACTATCAACCAGGATATCAACCGGAATTAAATCCACCAAGTAATACATTTACATGTATTTTAATTAAAAAAGTATTCCTACCATGGTAAAACTGTGAACATTATTGTCCATAAAAGGTACAAGAAAAAAATATACAGAGTGTATCACCGGCAACAACTTTGTTTAATATTGCAATAAGCAAGGTAGACAGAGTATAGTTGATACAATTTGGCTTTTGTTTTTAGTATTGTTCTTTTTTAACCGAGGGATGAGTATGTTATGTTAAATTCAAGAGGGCTTTTCTAATCTTCGAGAGGGCTATATACCATTTTAATTCCTGGGTTACTATTTTGAGAAGTATACAATATTTAAAGAACAAAACAATTTGCCTCAAACGTCCAAGCCAGGGGCGGTTGATACAGTGATTGGTGTCAGTTGAAACGCATACAAACAATACAAAATATATTGAAACACGTTTTATTCAAGGTTAATTATAATTGTTAAAATATTTTTTTTAATTCCAAATTAGTAAGTATTCAGTATTTTAATTTACATAAAGAAATTCTAATTAGGTTTTGACAAGTAAAAAACATTAAGTAAGTGAAAAAAAAACAAGTAAGAAAAATAAGTAAAACAAGTAAGAAAAATAGTTAAAATTTACACCATTGTTTAAGATAAAGTTGCTTAACGAAAATAATTTGAAAATAAGCAAAAAGGAAAGATTTCAACAATCAAACATATTTACAATTGGGGGTTGAAACAGAGTTGTATTACAACAGCAAAATAAAACTCACATTCACCATAATACACCAAAACACTTTCCTTTTGCTCTGGATGCGCCTTTTGCTAACCATGTTAGCATCATGAGCAGATGATTAAAATTGAATAAAGATGCTAACATGGTTGGCGAAATGCGCGTGCAGTGCAAAAGTGTTCTGGTGTATTGTGGTGAATGTGTGTTTTATTTTGCAATCAAACATAAACCAGCCACTACTATTTAATGTTTTAATCGTACCCAGAAAAATTGTTTCAACCATCCCAAAACCTTCCTATGCCTATGAAGTTGTGAATATCCTGTGTGATTTTACACTTAAATTTAAAATTTTTCAAAATTGGAGTTAATCAAATTGTGTAGTGAACCGCTCAATATCATAATCAATTTAGGTCACAACTATACTGTTCCAATCTGGAAAATATTTTTTATATCTTTAAATAATTAAAACTACTTATATATTATTGTAATTAATTTGAACTAAGTCCGGTTCTGTATTACTCCTATTATCTAAAAAATATTACTTACTTTTCATTGGTTGCTATATGAAAAAATATGAACTTTAGTCTATTCAGGCAGAGAGTATATAAGTACATACAATTATAGCTGACATTTCATTATTCAGGTCGAAATCAAACGTATATTTACAATGAATCGACCACCACAAAGAACATCGACCATCCATATCCTCCACCCGCTGAAACAAGAGAATATATAATAAATAAAGAAACAAATGTTATTAACAAATCTGAGCCACCACGCCAGCCTCGAGAAACAACAAGAGAGTATATTATTAACAAAGAAACAAACATTGTTAATAAAAATCAGTCCCCAATGTCAGAAAGAGGGTAAGTCATAGGACATTAAAAATTAATAGAGTTTAAATTTCCTGCACAGTATTTTCTTAGGTATCCTGTATATAATCCTCCAGCGCCTTCAAAAAACACTTATGTATTGAAAGAAACTCACACCACTAATTATCAGAATGGATATCCTCCTAATAGACAGCAATCACCACCAAGGGAGCCAATAAATATTCACTATTCTTATAAGTCTACCAATACTACAGAGAATAGGTAAAAAGAATTTGTTATATAAACTTATAAACACCATTAAAAAAGTACATAGATATTAGACAAGTTAACCGTTTATATTATAATAGATTTTTAATATTGAGAAACAAATACAGTGTAACCTAGTGTTCCGTAAAAACCCCATGTCTGGATTATTTAAGATTTGTGCTCCATTAAAAAAAATATGCAGAAAATAGTGGCAGATATTTTCAAAATATTGTATAGATGTATAGGATGTCTCATGTTTTTATTCTAGTTATACCGTATGATCGAAAAAAAAGGCGTCAGCGATGGTCATTTTCAAGCCAACTGGACGCCGTTTTTTTTTCGATCATACGGTATATGTCAAAAAATGTTTTAAACAGATGTCCATTTACAAAAATAAATTGTTTACACTAACTTTTTAATATTTCGTATGACAACCAAAACTCTGACGCCGTTTTTGTTTGAATCGTATATTATTGTATATGCAACCTACCTTTTTATAGTACAACGATACCTATATGTTTCCTGATTTAGATATAAAGGAGGCTACCCACCTAATAACGAGAGTCAAACTTTGCTGCCCCAAAAGTTTCCTACTGAAGATGGGCCTGATGGACCCCCAAAAAGAATCGAAGAACTTATGGCTACTATTGGTAATGAGGTACGTTACACCAGTAGGCTTTTTTAATAACAATAATCAAGTATTTGTTTGAAAGTGGCAAGCAATTGTCTTTAATTTTGAAATTTTAAAGCACGTTTCGACTTTATAACTAGTCGTCACGAATGTAAAATGTAACTAGTCGGGGTTTCTGGACTCAATCATCGTATCGACAAATCATTGTAGCGTTAACACCTTTAAGCCAGAGTTGGCATGATATATATCAATGATATATATCGGATATATATCATTGATATATATATCATGATATTTATACCTTGATATATATATCATGATATTTATAAAAAAATAAAACTCAACAATCAGAAAGAAAAAAACAAAAAAGATAATATTGATTGGATCTGGGACAATTCAAATGTACCAAAAACTGCCAGAAACAGTATCAATTGATTCTGACTCTGACGAATCTGACGATGATTTACCATTAATAAAATTAATAAATCAAGTATAAATTTGTTTGTTGTTATTTTTAAAATATCTGTTTATTTTTTGAATTTCCGATTATTTTTTAGAATTTCCGTTTATTTCTTAGAATTCCTGATTATTTTGTAGAATTTCCGTTTATTTTTTAGAATTTCTGTTTATTTTTTAGAATTTCTGTTTATTTTTTAGAATTCCTGTTTATTTTTTAGAAGTTCTGTTTATTTTTTTTAGAATTTCTGTATATTTTTTATATATTTTTGTTTTAATGTTGTTCCTATTATATACAAAGCAACAATAATTAAGTTGAAATAAAAATATTTGCTTGAGCTCTTGATTTTACTTGATACTATACTAAAATAACTGCACATAGAGATTGACAGTGACATAGAGATTCAGTGATTTTGCGTTTTGCAAAATTTATCACTTATCAGGAATTCAAAAAACAAATTTATCACTTATCAGGAATAATAATATCAAGAAATCTAAACTATTTCAGATGTTTATCAATAAAGGCGAAAAATAACAGAAACCTCTGTTATTTTAAGTTGTTATATAATAACAGCTCTAATAACAATTAAAACATTTATTTAAAAATAACAGTTTTGCCCATCACTAGGCAGAATATGCATGGGGCAATTAGGTACTACAGAAATCTGTGGTCGACAGCCAAGATAATTAATAGAGAGCGGATTGGTTTAACTGGAAAGTTAAGCAGGCCTATGTGCGCAATAAACCGAAAATATTCAGCTAAGCATTGACATTAAAAACATCATGAGCGAGTTTTATTTAAAATGGTTCAGTACTCCCTGTGGCATTTAGGAGTATATCTAGTAATGTTAGTTTAGTTTTTACTTCATAATGGCTTGATAGTGACCGGTCGTGGCTCAAGCAGTAGTGTGGCGACTACTATATGCGAGAGGTATTCGATCCATGTTCGGTCCCCACCCAGTACTGTCGCTATATTTATTTACATAAAAATATTTATCTAAATAGAGGGATCAAGGAAAGCAATGGCAAACCACCTTGAGTATATTTGCCTTGTACAGCCTCTCAAATAGTGCCGTTGGAATCGGTGATAAACTGTAGGTCCTGTGTACTTGTGAACACTAATGACGCACATCACAAGTACATGCGAGAGGTAGCCTACGCTCTGTATAGAGTATGACACTCTAAGATGAAAAATGGCTAGTAATACATTCAATATGAAACGCTGTGTAAAATTTCAACATATAGACACATACACATATCAGACCCAGAAGATATTTTATTTCAATAACCTACTTTATTTGTTTAATTTTTAGCCACCAAATAGTCCCCTAAATGCTGGTTTTAATGCCCACGAAAAAGAAGTGGCTCATAAAAGGGTTGTGGAGAGTATGAAACAACAAAACGCCGAAGTTGAAGATTTACAGAAAAAAGAAGTACCTACTAAAAATGTTAGTGGGCCTCCTGTATACTATCCGCCAGGACACGAAATGTTTGCCAAAAAGGAAGAAGGGGGCGGTGGCTGGAGAGCACAGGTATGTTTAATAAAAAATTCAGCTACAATACCTAGATAATAAGACCTGTAGCAACATGGACATCATCACATAGTAGTATATTGCTAATTTTGGTCAATAGTATGTGCTAAAACTATATTTGGATATTAGAAACATTTTCCTAATATTTACAGTTTTCCGGACTATGTACTTTCAATTTTCTTTTTTGTAAAAACTTTTGATTTTTTGGTGTTTTCTAAGTAATGTAGGTAAAGCATTTTAGAAGGGGAGATTGCTTAGATCATATTTTGTTGTTTCGTCCTATTTACGTTTTTTAAGTTTTATGGGGGTATTTTATCTGTCATAGCTTCCATACACATTATACAATTAGATTTCATTATTTATTATATTGTTCAATTTATCAATTCAGTCTATTAAAGGTTTCACAGCACTGGTGACCAAAAAGTACACTTCAATTTGATTATTTTAAATGTATTTTTAATGCACAATTAGCTCCCTCTACACCAGGAGTTTTGGCCTGCGGATTGGGCCTGTGGACTTGGCCTACGGATGAAATCTTTGCGTTTGTGGGCCATACCCGAGGTTATTAAAATATAGTTATTAATATAGTAACCTTGGGCAAGACCAAGTCTGTGGCAGGCCAAGCCTGATACAGGCCAAGTCCGCGAGCTTGATCTGTGAGATGTGAGATTACGTTGGTAAAAAAAACGAACTATAAAGTCGTCAGACTTGTAACACTCTTTCTTTCTAACCTTCAGTTTTTATTCCGATAAACATTTATCTTTATAAAAACTGCTATAAAACGTGGAATTTTGTCCCAAAGGAGAATTTTAATCGGGTAAAGATCTAATCAGCAGGCCAAGTCCACAAGCCAAGTCGGCTGATCAAATACGAGAGTTTTGGTACGTGAGAGACCAAGACCGCAGGCCGGGTCGTCTGGTGTATGGGGGCTATTAGATCAGACATGTAAAAGTTGTTCTTCACAAAGTGGATGTACTTTTACTTATAAAACATTCTATATAAATTATATAATAATATATGATACTACATCAAGTACCTACAAGATATATTCATGTCTATAGTCTATCAACGAGAAGATTCATGACAGTGATAGCTTTTTTTGGATGTCGTCTGTCGAAATATTCCTTGGTTCTTTGGACAGACTTTATTGTATTTAATTGTATTTCCCCGTTGATTTGTTGATTTATTAAAATTAATATGAAAAAAAATGTTTAGGGTGAATATGCCAAAGGATCAGGTAAATACATGTACGAAGCTGAAAGCGGATCAAAGACCAAAACCAAGAAAGGAATGGCCGTTGTTCCAGTGTGTTTACCTCTTTGCTGTGGACTTCCATGTACCCTTCTTTAAAATGTATATTCATTCAATCTCCAGTTTGAACAACGTTTATGATTTCGTAAAGTGTCATTAACAAATTCAATCTTCTTAGAGTGCTTGCACATGAGCCACTATTTTGTTGGTCAAAGATAAATCCAAGGAAACGTCAAACAATTTTTATGCTCTAAAACAGGACTGACCGGCAACATAGTCGTTCATATACAACGGCTTTTGATGATGATGAAGTATTTATTAAAAGAATTCTCAATGTGCCTTACAATTCTTGTATTGAACATATTTTTTAGTTATTTCAATTATTGTACTCACTGATCTGATCTAATAAATGTATAAAAGTGTAAAAAATAGGTTTATTGTTTTTTTGTATATGTTAAATATATTTGGTAAAAGAGCTTTAAATAATTATATATATTTAATAATAAAAAATGAGTTAATTTTATTTAATGTTAAATATTAAAATGTAATTTTTTGGCAGCTTAAAAATATGACAATAACGTTTTAATTTGTATCTCATTTCTTTAATTATTTAAGTTGTTTCTAATATTAGGAATACAATATGATCAAAAAGATTTCCAATCAAGCGTACTGTTGCTGTGTATATTGACAGATAAATAACTTTTACGAGAAATTACACTAGAATTTTTAACTGTTACTCAATTAATCCTTGATCATAAAACTTTTTGATCGTACAGTATATGTTTTAAAATTAAATAATGAACTAATTTCTTGCCTTGAAAATATTAGCTGAATGTAAACCCTAAAACATTTATTTAAATAAACAGTAAAAAAACTATAGTTATATTGTTTAATTTTTTAATCATAAATAATGTTATTAAATACGGTAAAATCGAATTAAAAAAAACGGCGTCAGGGACGGCTGGGGAATAACAATCAATGATAATTTTGGCGATGTAAATCTCTAGACGTCATTTACTAAAAATTGACATCAAACTTGTCAAAAATTAACGCTAATTATAGAAAGATTAAAGAAGGATAGAACCTTTCCAGAAACACAAATCTGTTTTGAAAAAATGATTTTTTTCTCGAATTTTAAACTACATCATTTAAAGATCAGTTTTACTCAATATAAAAATAAATTACAACCTTCTTAGCCAGTAACCGCCATTAAATATTGAAAAGTTCGGGCCAAGTGATGACATCTAGGGCTTGATCTCGCCAAAAGTATCATCGATTGTCATTCTGCTTATACATATATTGCATTAATTTTTCTGCTACCTTAAGATTTCTCTATTCTTACACTTAATTTATGTGATTTTCTTAGCATAATATGATTTATAAACCATATTTTTCCTAATTGAAGGATGGAATAGGATATGCAAAATTAAGATATTTTAACATTTATGTTCCAGACAAAGCATAATATAGTATTAAGATTAAGACATAACAAATATTATAAGAAAGATCTTAATATAAATCACAAACTAATTACAAACTAATCTTAAGTTGGTCTTGTATAAACACAGGTATGAAACTAACAGAAGATTCAAACGCAACCTTCACCATATTGTCAAGATTTGGCATTATAGGATACAAGAAATTACAGTAAATTAAGAAAATAATATCAAAGTACACGATATTAAATACTGTAATGTATTCTACGGCACAAACCATCTCCCTTCTAAAGAGAAAAAGATAAAACATAAAGCTTATTTTAGTCTTATCAACACACTCTTCGATAAAATATATGTCTAAAATTGCTATTAATCCACTAACTTGATATTTTTAAGAAATTATGATACAAACATTACAATCAAAGTATATTATATTAGTAACATTATAGGTAAAATATGTTACCTCTATCTCCCATTGACGTGTATTGTTCTATAAGACTCGTCATGGTAGTATTTCAAAACATCAATACAAATAATCAAAACTATTGTTGCCTGTCTGTAAATAACTAGAAATTAAATAACTTGAAAGAAATAAAACAATTCTAATAAGTTTAAACCCATTAGAAAAAAAATTCGTAAATGATAATTTTAATTTTAATGTAAATATATAAATAAATGTTATTATTATTCAACCACTTCCATATCTCATCTGTGATTATTACAATTTTATATATTCATAATACTTTCATTTCATAATCTTCATTATCCTTCTTACCTTAATTTTGGATATCAAGATAAATCTGAAATTATATAATTAATTATAGAATTTGTATTATTATTGATTAACACTAAAAAAAATTTTTCAACTGCAAATAATTCGAAAATAAACTGCAATTTGGCAACATCGACGATGTGCGCTAGCGTAGTATCGATGATCAAATGCAGCAAATATGGGCTTCAAGGTCAGCCACCGGATCCACACCTTTACCAAAAATATATTTATCTATATTAGGTATGGACACAATGGATCTGTAAGGTCGAAGTGATTAACCCCCCTCCCACTCATTCATTCTAATATTAGGTATTGAATGTTTTTTGATTAATGGGACATTTTTTGGTAATGGTGTGGATCCGGTGGCTGACCTTGAAACGAGTTTTTGCTGCATATAGTCTTAGACACTACGCATGCGCACATCTTTGATGTTGCCAGATTGTGAGTAATTTTGGAATTATTTTCAGTAGAAAACAAATATGTGCTTTTCAGTGTTTTTTGTCAATATATACCATAAGATTGAAAAAACGGCGTTCAGTTGGCTGGGAAATGACGATTAAGGACATTTCCCATATAAAATGACAGCAATTTTCATTTCATAGTCATCGCTGACGCTATTTTTTTTCAATCATAGTACGCGGTATATTATTTATATTATTATTTTAATATTTCGTACAACACGTGAACGCTTATTTTGTAGTCAATAAAATTATATAGAAATAAAACTCTAGATTCCTATCTAGATTATTATGCTACGTTTAAAAAGTGCTTTATTAAAAATTCGGGAAATTAAAAATGATGTGTCCAAGTTTTTTCTTTTCTTTGTTTCTTTTAATTTTTAAATGCGGTAGCTCCATGTCATGTTCATAATAGTTTTTTTTAACATTCCATCAAAACTACGGAGGCCTTAAAAGGCCTTTTAGCCTCCGTAATTAAAATTGTAGAATCAGCATTCAGCAACATTAACATCAGTGACCTTGTTTAATTCTGCTTATACATATATTGCATTAATTTTTCTGCTACATTAAGATTTCTCTATTCTTACACCTAATTTATGTGATTTTCTTAGCATATATGATTTATAAACCATATTTTTCCTAATGGAAGGATGGAATAGGATATGCAAAATTAAGATATTTTAACATTTATTTTCCAGACCAAGCATAATATAGTATTAAGATTAAGACATAACAAATATTATAAGAAAGATCTTAATATAAATCACAAACTAAGTCTTAATTTAGTCTTGTATTTCTATTATTATTATTATTCTTATAAAACTAATAAGATCAAAAATCAACCTTCACCATATTGTCAAGATTTGGCATTATAGGAAACAAGAAATTACAGTAAATTAAGAAAAGAATATCAAAGTACACGATATTAAATACTGTAATGTATTCTACGATACAAACCATCTCCCTTCTAAAAAAAAAGATAAAACATAAAGCTTATTTTAGTCTTATCAACACACTCTTCGATAAAATATATGTCTAAAATTGCTATTAATCCACTAACTTGATATTTTTAAGAAATTATGATACAAACATTAATTATAATCAAAGTATATTATATTAGTAACATTATAGGTAAAATGTTACCTCTATTTCCGATTGACGCGCGTGTATTGTTCTATATAAGACTCGTCATGGTAGTACTTCAAAAACATCAATACATATAATCAAAACTATTGTTGCCTGTAAATAACTAGAAATTAAATAACTTGAAAGAAATAAAATAATTCTAATAAGTTTAAAACCATTAAGCAAAAAATCCGTAAATGATAAATTTTAATTTAATGTAAATATATAAATAAATGTTATTATTATTACAATTTTATATATTCATAATACTTTCATTTCACAATCTTCATTATCCTTCTTACCTTAATTTTGGATATCAAGATAAATCTGAAATTGTAAAATTAATTATAGAATTCATATTATTATTGATTAACACGCAAAAAAAAAATTTTCAACTGCAAATAATTCGAAAATAAACTGCAATTTGGCAACATCGACGATGTGCGCTTGCGTAGTATTGATGATCAAATGCAGCAAATATAGGCTTCAAGGTCAGCCACCGGATCCACACCTTTACCCCATTCACATCATATTATATAGACTCCTCATACAAAGCAAAATTATTCATAATATCAATAGGTAGTTTATTAACGTAGTTTTCATGTAGTTAATGAACGGGAAAAGACGTAGTTTTTGAAGAAAAACTACACGTAGTTAATCAGGTAAACTACGTCTTAATTAACTACTTCCCTCTTGTAGAATATAAACAAGCATATTACTAAAATGTTGCAGATTTAAATCCATTTTTTTTAAATATCGATATTTTAATATACCCGAATTTTTTGGACATCTCTAATTCACCATCTGTTCTGTGGGATTCCCTCTATTGACTTTTATATCAATATATGTTTTTGTTATCGTTATCTGTGAATGTGAAAAGTGATTTTTTGGCCATTCATTTTTGTTTGATGAAGTCGTTGAAGATATTAGGTAGTACTCATAGAATATTGCTCTGATTTACACCATACATTTGAAGGAATGTCTGCAAAACAAAATCTACAAAATGAATTTTATCAGAACTGGTAAGTATCTATAGCACAAATCCTGTATTTTAAAATTTATGAATACTTAAGTGGTTTAAAAGTGTGTAAGTACCCTGTAAGTACTTAAAGGGGGTTATAGGATAGGTGACGATTCACTTTAGGGCTGTCGCGAGCATTGCATTTAAAATACAAATTTTGCTACCAAAACAAAGTAAAAGACATTTGTGAAAGAACTAGGTGAGGAATATTCGATTTCTTAAAACAGTTTTTATAAAATAAATAAAATCTTTATTATTTTTTGTTGATTATTTAATTTTAGATGTCAGCCTGTCAGCTAATTTAATTAGTAGTATTATCAGTATATTATCAGTTTTTTATAAACAATCATATCACCTAAAATACCCTATTATATATATTTTTTTTAAGTTGTATAAGAAGATAAGTGATTGATGATATGAAATATTTTATTTAAGGCAGAAGCAAATTCAAAGTACTACAATATGACTACTTATATCCTTTATATACAGGGTGCGTCTCAAAAGTGGCTCACCCCTATAACTTTTTTATTTTTTCAGATAAAACGAGATTCGGAATATTAGTATATGACATAAATTAGGATTGATTGACATATACAATTGTTTTCGATCACTTCCGGTTTCACTGGAAATAACTACAACTTTTGATTTTTAAATGGCACCCTCGGTATTTTTTTACTTTATTCGATAGAAAATGACATTCTGAATAGAATGACATATCATATGTCAACTTTTGACATTTTCGCATATGGTTTATTTTAAATTGTAACATGGGGTTCATAACGACTATTTGACTCGAAATACCAAGTGTGTGGTATCAAATTATTCGTAAAAAATGCTTTCTCCAAATATGCTAATGAGCCACCCTCGTTCCATTTGAAAAAATTGAGATATGATTAAAAATACGATTTGGGCAGCTTTTAACAAGCCAGGACAAGACACTAAAAACATTAGACAACCAAATCTATTTTTCCAAGGCTCCTTGATTAAAAATTAGTGTTTTTAACACAACCATGACACTCTAGATTGAAATTTAAAATACAATTTCTTTTTGAGCGAATAGTCAAAAATTGATGTCATATGATATGTCATTCGATTCAGAGTGTCATTTTCTATCGAATAAAGTAAAAAAATACCAAGGGTGTCATTTAAAAATCAAAAGTTGAAGTGACCGAAAACAATTGAATACGTCAATCAATCCTAATTTATATCATATGCTAACATAGCAAATCTCGTTTTTTTATCTGAAAAAATAAAAAAGTTATAAGGGTGAGCCACTTTGAGACGCACCCGGTATATATGTTTATATAGGTCCATTGAGATTGTAGTAGTAGTTGCTATGCTAGATCCTAGAGAGTAATATTAAAATATTATTTATTGTAATGCACTTTTAAGATTGATTGATGTTTATCACAGACTCACAGAAGTCACAGATAACAGAGTATTATGTTATCTGCGCTAATAAATCAGTTTTGTTAGCAACTTTTTTATTAGCTCTTTGAGAGAAATGTATTCTTCATAAAAGTTTTTTCTTATTTTAGAATTGCTAATTCCGCTTATACTTTAAAACAAATTTCCATACCGTTTTAGGGAAAAATTAAAAAAATATATGAAAATCTAGTTAAATTTAATGTCACTTTTAGGTTTTCATTCTAAAATGGTTATTATTAATTTTGATTAAGGTCATATTTTTTGCTGTTTTAATAAGATTAAAGAAATTTATTTTTATTAAATAATATTAAAGAGATTTTCATGTAAAAACACTTTCTATAGTTTCTTGAACCTTAGTATTAAGGTTAAGGTAATTATTTTATTTATTATTTTTCTTTTTTGATTTCAGTTCGATCATGTATTTCTGAGTTATTTTGTGGTGCACGAGTTTCGTCTGGTAATAAAGAAGAAGAAAAATCTGATACTGTCAGTATTGCGAGTATTGCCAGTGGCGTTTTCATACGTTCTGGAAATAATATATCTGAAGGATTACAACCACAAACCAGTTTACGACGTTCTAATGGCGACTCTATATATGTTAAATCTGATAAAACTGGTGGTGATACTACCACTCCGTCTAAAATTTATACTGTGAGTAAACTCGCAACTACTAATTATAAAGTTTCAAGTTCTAATAAGAAGAAAATACATAATGTTCCCAATTCTTCTGAAAATAAGATACATAAAGGAATACAACCACAGAATAGTTTACAAAGGACTAAAGTTGACTCTAATAAAACTGCTGGTAACACTATCACATTACCCTCAAATTCTGATGTAACTGGATTTGGTGTTACCCATTATAACGTTTCCAATTCTGCTGAAAATAAGATACATAAAAGAATACGACAGAGTAGTTTAGAGCATCCTACAGCTGGCTCTAAATATGACGAATCTAATAAATCCACTGGTAACACTACAACTTTGCATATTAGTGAGTTTAGAGTTGCCAACAACGAAGTTCCTAATTCATCTGAAGATAAAATATATAATAGATTACAACCACTGAGTAGTTTACAAAGTACTAAAGTTGACTCTAATAAAACTGCTGGTAACACTAACACATTACCCTCAAATTCTGATGTAACTGGATTTGGTGTTACCCATTATAACGCTTCCAATTCTGCTGAAAATAAGATACATAAAAGAATACGACAGAGTAGTTTAGAGCATCCTACAGCTGGCTCTAAATATGACGAATCTAATAAATCCACTGGTAACACTACAACTTTGCATATTAGTGAGTTTAGAGTTGCCAACAACGAAGTTCCTAATTCATCTGAAGATAAAATATATAATAGATTACAACCACTGAGTAGTTTACAAAGTACTAAAGTTGACTCTAATAAAACTGCTGGTAACACTATCACATTACTCTCAAATTCTGATGTAACTGGATTTGGTGTTACCCAATATAACGTTTCCAATTCTGTTGAAATTAAGATACATAAAAGAATACAACGACAGATTAGTTTAGAGCATCCTACAGTTGGCTCTAAATATGACGAATCTAATAAACCCACTGGTAACACTACAACTTTGCATATTAGTGAGTTTAGAGTTGCCAACAACGAAGTTCCTAATTCATCTGAAGATAAAATATATAATAGATTACAACCACTGAGTAGTTTACAAAGTACTAAAGTTTACTATAATACTACCAATTTATTTTCAAATTACAGTGTTAATACATTTAGAAACCAAAGTGTATATCCAACTAAAGACGATTTAGTAGAGACCAAAATTGGAAATTTAAACCCCAATATTATCCAAGGACAGTATGAAACTTTAGATAATTATTTAAGTACTCATTTTACCCTTCTTCGAGAAGATTTTATAAAACCCTTACGAGAAGATTTAAAATTATATTTTTGCGGTAACAAGACATTAGATAACATAGTTATCCATAATATAACATTTATAAGAAGAGGAATAAATAATGATGAATATATTTTTTGTATTCAATTAACAAAAACACTTACTACTTCTTTGTCGGACGACGAGGATTCGGAAAAATCGTTAAAACGGTTTATGACGGGTTCTTTGGTGATTTTTACGCGAAATAATTTTGAGGATTTTTTTTGTGGAAGAGTATCAAACAACGATGGATTCCGAAACAAGTTACTATCGATTAACTTTGAATCTAATACATTAAACCAAATATGTTGTAAACCCGATATTGAATATAAAATGATAGAGTGTAATGCATTTTTCGAACCATATTATAACGTTTTGACAGTATTGCAGAAAGTATATTCTTCTACTATATCAATGGAAAACTATCTGGTTCAAGTTGAATCAAATATTAAAATGCCAAAATATCTAAAAGGTATAAAACAGCATGTTCTTATTAACGGATTGAACCCGTCACAACATACTACCCTAAATGCTGTGTTATCGCAAGAATTGGCTATTGTTCAAGGGCCACCTGGAACAGGAAAAACGTTCATGGGTATAGAAATTACAAATCAGCTTTTGAAGAGATCTTCTTTATGGTATAATAACACGCCTATGCTAATTTTGAGTTGTACGAATCATGCTTTAGACAACTTTTTGGAACGGGTAACAAAATATACTCCTGAAATATTAAGGTTAGTATAGATGTTTTTTTTTATTTTTACAGTCGTAATATATTCCTAAGGGTCGTGCGTCTTGCATAATTTAGAAGTATCATAATCTGTCCAATGAGAGAGGGTATATTACAGTGATAATTGTGTCTGTCATGTTAATGTACACGTAAATTGTATTTTCCTGTCATTTTTTGGATGTCGTCTGTCGAAATCTTTCCTGAGGGTGCATCCATACTATCCTAGAAAAAGCGGAACGGCCGCGGCGGCGGCGTATCGGCGTAAAGATCTTGAATAGATTTCCAGTAATCCTATTGGCTGAAAAATCCATCTGTCAGAAATTTTATCTGTCAAATTCATCTGTCAAAAATTTCAGCCAATAGAATTACTGGAAATCTATTCAAGGTCGTTACGCCGTTACGCCGATACGCCGTTTCTAGGATAGTGTGGATGCACCCTGAGTCGTTGGACAGACTATAGAGTAAACAATAGTAAACATTGATAAAACCAAAAATAATAAAAAACAAAAATGCAAAAATAAGTTATTTATTTGGGTCATTATTTTCTAAAAAATATGCGATCACTGCGAACCACAGTATAAAGATAATCCTTTTCGAATGAAGTGTAGAAATAAGTATAACCTCAGATTATAAACTTATCGTCAAAAGCATTGTTTTTCGTGGTTCCAATTTTCGGAGTCGCGCACTAGTTAGGTTACTAGTTTGCGCACAAGCACGCCCACTTATGGCCTCTAAAGTTGTGCACAGCGCCTGACCGGCCCTGTTATTACGCTGTTTAAACGCGAGTTTATTTTTGCGCACAGGAAATTTTACTCGTTTGCTCGTCATAAAAAACAATTTTCGTACCACGAATTAGGGGCAAGATTTTTATCTGTATACATATAGTATACCTAATCTGTGGTATAACTATGGGTTATATCTCAATATCTTGAATTTTCTGCGTGATTGACAAACGAATCTAAAACCATAGATAACCTTGTCTAAAACAGCAAGAGGAATTCGGGCAAAAAAAATCGATGTTGTCACGTTTAATAATAGAAATGCAAAATTGCTCGATATTACCTATAAATTGAATACATTTTTAGGTCATTTCAGCATATGTAATTATATACGTATCCTTACTCTCCATAATTTGAACTCGACATTTTATAATTTGAAGTAAGAAATCCCATATTTTGAAGTCCGTGATTATGTATTTGCCTATTTGCCATTTGTTTAGTCAATTAATGTAGTTATTGCGTCGGTATTGTTTTCCTGTACAGACCTGTCGTTAGTTCGCATCAATACGTTAGTGACAATACTACGTTAATTTTTAACAAACTCTTATTTATTTGAATTTATCCCTATTTCCTCTTGATTATTTGAACTTCTATTATTTTGAACTATCTTTATATTGAATTTTTTTCCTGGTCCCTTGAGTTTTAAACTATCGAGAGTCGACTGTATATGCTAAGTATCTTAACGCAGTCCATATTGTAAAATGTATATTTATCTACTTAATTGATTTACTTCATTCTGCTTATTATAAAAGGTAAAGTACGGTATGATCGAATAAAAACGGTATCAGCAATGGCTATGAAATCAGAGCACGTAGATCGCCGAGTAGCGACAGAAACCGTCGGCTCTTTTGATGTGGTGGGACCAAATTTTCTTTCTCTCTCTTTTGACGTGTTTGACAGATAGACTACGTATTTAACTGCTCAACTTATGAAGTGGTCCTATAAACATGTATACACTGCTCACAATTTGAAGTGGAATTAATTATAAAGTTTTATACATATCTTTTTTGTTTTGTTTTATCCTTATTTCTAAATTTGAATGTATAAAATATCTTACTGCTAATAAATAATTAAAAAAACGATTCGTTGCCTGAGGTATACTTGAAATAAAGTATATAGAGATATTTGATAAATGGCAACAGTGGCAACTTCGCTTCTTCGTATAACAGATAACCTACATATTTCGCGCAGCCGCAAAGAAAATTGAAAACGGGACTATCGCTACTCGTCGGTTTAGGTACTCTGATGAAATGACAAGCATCTCAAAAGAGAAAAGATTCCATCGACGTTGCCAAATTTACGAACTTTACTTTGAAAATTATTGGCGCTCTCCATAGAGCACTTTCTGACTATACTAAAGCGGGAAATTTAAAACAAATTTGATGATTTGGTAGATACACTTACATATATTATTATATTATATATATATATATATATATATATATATATATATATATATATATATATATATATATATATATATATATATATATATATATATATATATACATATATATATATATATGTTGTATATATATACATATATATGTATACATATATTTAATATAAAATCGACGGAGTCAGTCCCTGGTACGTTTAAGATAGGCCATCAGACCCGGGTATATCGGACGAAAAATGTTCAAGCTGATGCCTTCAGGCCCTGATGCTGGACCGTTTAATTTGTCCCATTTATATAAAAATAGAGGTTTATTCGTTTTCGCCAGACCCACGACGTTGCCGCTTTAATTCTCAAATATTTATATTAGAATTAGACGAACGGACCTTTGACGCGGTAATGGATCACAGTGCAGAAGTAAAAACGGTGCATTTCTGCTATAGTGAATAATATTGGTACTTATTGTTAGTATTAGATATATTCTGTCTTATAAATGCATCTGTATCGAAAGCAAGCTTTTTATCTGAAATTTCTTTAAAAATTAAATTTCTTTGGTAATAAGCATAATCAAGTTACAATGCATTATCAATTTCGTTTAGTAGATTTTGTAAGTGTTTACTAAGTGATGATGGAACCCCGTTTATTATCTTTATACTTTAAAAGAAAAAAAGTTTAGCTACTTTCTACAACGAAATCATAGCATCGAAATAAATTTTTTAGATACTCGTACAATTTTTGACACGACGATCGATTCCGACAACGAAAAAAAAAAAAAATTAGTTACTTCTACAACGATATCGTAGCATCGATATAAATATTTAGGTACAATTTTTGACACGACGATCGATTCCGACGACTGTCATTTCTAAGGTAATTTGACGCCGTGTTTAAACTAGGGTATGTGTGTATTTATCATTAACTTTTTTCTATTTTGTTGTAAAATTATTTTAACTTATTTTTTATTACATACAGATATGTGGGCGGCAATTTAAAAATTTGCACTGTGAGCAAAAAAAAGATGCTCATTTAGAATATTAAGAAATTCAGACAAAAAAATGAAAATAAGCATTCTTTAAAAGATTGTTTCTACTAGTTTTATTCTAAAAATATAAATAATATGAGGTCTCTAATCTGGCGAGTTGAGTTTGGACAGACTCCATAAACAAAAATTTTAAAAGTATAAATGTAATAATTCTAAATTTTCTGCGTCTGGTAAATTCATAGCAGTAAAGTAGAGAAAAAAGTGTAGGTTTAAAAGCATTAATTTCTGGAAATTCTATTTGTAGAGGCTGGGAACCACCTACTTTTCTGGGAACCCCATATTTTCAAGTTTAAATTATTAGAACTGTGATTAAAACAAATCACTATTTTCATTCATATTGCAATCAATGAATAATAAGAATATTATATTATCAAATATTACACTAATTAAATTAAATATGGGGGGTATTAGAAAAATTGCAATAGATACGGAATCGAGCAAAAAGTGTTTCAAGCCGATCGGCGATCGACTGAATCGGATTAGTCATTGTCAAAATACGTAGTCATTGTCAAACTCTCAAAACATTATTAAAAGAAGAAAAATTCTCAGTATAATTGAAAGAAACCTCATTATCGACATTTAATATACAATTAAAAATGAGTTTATTGAGAGAATTATTAAAAAAAGAGAAGAAAAATTCTCAGTATAATTATGAAAGAAACCTCATTATCGACATTTAATATACAATTCAAAAATGAGTTTATTGAGAGAATGGACGGAACCGAGGACGGAACTGATATCAATATTGACGCAAGTTGTTACGCAAGTGTCAGTAATTCAAATTTGGAACATGGTCAAGTTAAGTTTTTTTTTAATTAATAGTAAAAAACATAATATATTAATCTTTATATCTTGAAAAAAATGATAATACTGAGGAAATTTAAACATATTATAGAGATGCAACCATAAAACGTGTTTGTTATATTTACATGGTGTTGGTAGATAGCATCCAGCCGTAAACTGAATATACAACGTATTACTGTAGTGTGTAGCCACAGTTTAAAGAATACGTGTAGCCGTCAACATTTTTGTTTCACTGAAATTACTATTTTAGATCTCACTGAACGAAATAATGCAATAAACCACTATTGTGAATAACTGAATATTGAATCATATTTATGATCGAAAAAAACGGCGTCAGCGATGGCTATGAAATGAAAATTGCTGTCATTTTATATGTGTGTGTGCGGGAACATTATATGGTGAATGTCATCGATCGTCATTTCCAAGCCAACTGGACGCCGCTTTTTTTTCGATCATACGGTACCTTTTTGTTTAAACTTTTTCCTGTGGGGAGAAATATCATACAAAACGGCCTTATCGTACAGTCACTATCATATATACGATGATCGTAATTATTTTGATGTAAATACTTCGACAATGAAATCATACCACCGAAATAAATCTTTAGGTACTCGTACAATTCTTTGACCCGTCGCGCGTCGATCGATTTAGATGAAAAAAATTTTTAGGTACTTCTGTAACGAAATCATAGCACGAAATAAATTTTTAGATACTCGTACAATTTTTTGACACGGTGATCGATTTAGATGAAAAAAACTTCAGATACTCGCACAATTTTTTGACAAAACGATCGATTCTGACGATTGTCATTTCAAAGGTAATTTGACGCCGTTTTTTGGAATCATATATATGCCATGTGTATACTTATCTAATAAGTAAAGTGTATTCATTTAGAATATATTAAGAAATTCAGACGAAAAAAATCAAAATAGGTAGTAAGTATTTTTTAAGATTGTTTCTACAAGTTTTATTTAAAAATTGTA